AAAAAAAAAAAGGGTACAGCTGTTGCTGCACTGGCTTTGGATATGAGGTGTGTGCTCTTTGTTTCAACCGCGTTTTCTGAGGTTGGTGAAAACCCTAACTATACATCTTTCTTCGGCTTGAAAATTTATGAAATCTAAACTTTGGAAACTTCCAATTTTGTGAAATCTTAAGTTGGAAAGTTTGAATTTGTGTAATTTGGACATAATTAGGTACTGGAGTCGACGTTTTTGTTTCCTTTTTATATTGCTATTTCAACACAACACTGCGTTTGACACAAGTTTTCGAAAGGTTCGAAATGTTGTGATCATGGCCTGATTTATTAACGAGTCAATTAAAATAAAGGGTATTATAAGGTCATTAACTCTTCAATGATTCAAACAACATTTCATTTTTGGAATCAGTGACCCAACGTAATTTATTTATTAATAATTTTTTATATATTTTATCTTTTTAATTATTTAGAATCATTTAATGGTTAATAGATTTATATAATAACTATATACGACTCAGTATTGTGACTAGTGGCTTATTTAGAAATTGAATCAAAAAGGCCTTTTTAACTCAGTGGTAGAGCAATGTGCCATGATAAGATGTAAGTCATCGGTTCAAATTCGATAAGGGGCTTTGACTTTTTTCATAAAACTCTAGCCATAGTATTCGGATTTGATTGAAGGGAGAATAGACGACATAGTGATTTATTAAGACTCTTCGTTTTAAAATTTGTGATAGAATCAAACTTAGACCAAAATTGATCACTTTTTAATACTATAAGGATTAAAATAGACATTTTAAAAGTATAAACACTCTAAGTATAATGACTAAAAAATAAATAAAAGTATAAAAGGATAGAGATTAAAATAGGTTATAGTAATTCAAGTGATTTGTTTAGTTTCCCACCCCCCTGTTTTCCCTAAATATTAATTTAATATTGTTAATCTATTTATTAATGAAGTTAACAATGGTATTAATACTTCTAATTAGAGCAGCTGCAGTTATATTATTATATTAAACTACTCTTCCTACAAGTTTGAGAAACCCATTATCATAGGTTAAATGACCATTGGTTTTGGTTTCACATTAAAAAGAGAGTCAACAGTTTAAAAATATATTTTGTTCTTTATTGTTTGGCAACAATATTTAAAATAGAATGAGATAGAGTGCACATAAATCTTACAAAATTACGTTCCAAAGAAAATGGTATCTTCTAGAAATATTGAGATTAATAGGGTTATTCTTCCAATCTAAACCCTTTTATGTTTGCAAAATTTTTTATCGAAATTAGAACACATGTTTCAGTATAGTTCAATGGTAATTGATACAAATTCATTCTCTTAGAGGTTGGAAGTTCAATCCTCCATGTCCCCAAATTGTTATACTTAAAATATATAATATGTCGATTTTATTCAAAGCAACATGTATTTAAATAGAAGGATATCATCCGTAGATCTCAAATTTATGATATTGTAATTATCATCTAAAATCATGGTATTAAATAAATGAAAAATAATCAAATAATTTGTTTAGTAGATACAAATATAAAAAGAAAGAAATTGTGCTAAAATCGTTTTTTATTTGAATAAAATATGAAAAATGATAACTTGTGCAACTTCGTCTCGTGTTTTATATGCGGCAACTTGTTCATATTTGAATGAAATTCTGTGAAAACAGATAACAAAAAGCTGCTCTTATTGACCATCTTAATTTTGAGAATTTGCAAATGCACAGTGGAAATATTGTATTGAATTATTTTTTAACGCGATATTAATTATTTATTACATTACATCATTAATGTGTAAAAATAGTATAGACTTGGGAATTAGTGAATCCAAAATATAAACAAACAAATAAACAATGAGATTCCCGAAGCCTCTCTTTTTTGAAACAGAGTATTAATATATTTGTGTTTCTTGAATATGGCTCAATCGGGTGGCTGACAGTATGATTTTACACCTTAATTAATTAAACTAATTATGATGTTCCTTTGCTAATTAATGGAGCTCACATGTTTTTTTTTTTCTTTTCAAAAAAGAAAAATGTCAGAACATGCAGGAAAGGGCTGTTCTTGCTTTTGTGAAATTGTAAGGAAATTTCATTCACTAAAGTTGATATATCATGGCACCAATCAATCTTCAACCCACCATGAACCTGGCAAACAAATTAAAACAATGTGAGTTGTCTGTGGATGTAATCTTAAAGATTAGTAGGAAAATTTTGAATTGGACTAAGTTTTAAGTCATCTATTTTGTAGGACGTTTGTTCTCGTTAGTTAGCAGTATAAATATATGATAAGATTTACTCAAAAGATAAACGAAACTTCCAAATATAGAGACTAAACATGTAATTTAGTCTCATTTTTGCCAATCCTATTCCAAACATGCTCTCTAGTGGTTTAGTAAATTAATCGAGATGTGTACGAGTTAACTCGAATACCCATATCTAATGCTTCCGCATGCGATATTACTTATCTCGTTCTCCTATCTATATCTTCAGACCCACCAAAGCCTCTATATCATAATAAAACTTCATGGCCATTAATGAAGATGCAATGTTTCTTCCCTCATTCCCTAATTCTCAGAAAGAAAGCTGTTTGTTCTATGTTCTCTCTCTACTGGCATTGTACCAGCTTCCGTACGTTGCATATAAACAGAAACAAAGGCATGTAATTTTGTTGGTGTGATGGAGTCTAAGAGGCACATGGCGTATGAGACCAATGTTTTGTTTGTTTGCTGAGAAAATAATGTTAAAAGAGAAATGATTGGATTGGATTAGGAGGATGGGCGAAAGTGCAGCGCTGGTTCTTAAAGTTGGAGAGATGTTGGAAGATGAAGAGGCAACATCCAAGTGCTTTTGTTTCCCATTTTGAACCACAGAATCATATCAAATCAAAACAAATCCCTTTTGCTTCTCATTGGATTAACAGAACTTGCTACCAAACCTTGTTTCCCCTATAATTTTAAGATCAATATCACAACTCTAAGATCTGTATCTCCACAATCAGTAATCCCAACTTAGGTTTTGTTAGGCCTCTAATATGAGGAGAAGGGAAAAGAAGGGGTAATGTGTCTAAAAGCTTCTAAAACTTGGTCCTAGGGAAGAACAGTTTTGAGTTTTTTTCCTTCTTTTTCCCATTATTTGTCTAATTGGAAACCCATGAAGAGGAAATAAAAGGGAAGAGAATGTTCACAAGTGAATTGTGATATGGTGTTGAAAAGGAAACTTCTTAACTTACAATACAGCAGTGTTGCCATGAGTCCACGACCAAAGTATTAACCCACGGCAGTTACTTTTACTGGGATGCACCCTCTTCAAAGGAACTCAAAGCACTGATTATGGATTCATAAACCTTTATGCCCCTTAAGAAGACCGTTTCTGACAAGAACTGCACCAAGGTATAAGCAAATGAGACAACCCATTAGTAAGATTATAGTGAAAATGGAGTAAAAATATGGATATGGAGAGAGAGATAATCATGGAGACTTGTTGAACCTCGTTGTGATCATGCAATAAGATAGGAGTGTTACTCATTGGGGAGAAACCAAGAACAGGAATGCCCAACTGTCTCATGAAGCGTGCATCAGTCGTCGAAGCCAGGATTTCAGGGCTTGAAAGCTTGCCACCAGCATCGGAGATGGCTGTCTCGAATACGGACCACCATCGATTTGAACCGTTTGTCATCGTCATTAATGGACGTCCCAAGTAGTCTCTGATGGGCCCTCTCTGAGTAATCTGCAGGAATCAACTCCATTCTGTTTTAGCTACCATATATTGCTAAGATGACATACAAATAGACAACAGTTTAATTCATTAGAGATGTCCCCAACTTATAATGATTAATGCATTTATTTGAGGAACGTCTAATCCCTAGAAAAACAGAAAATTAATAAAATTGCTCCAGGCCATACATGCTTTAAAAATGTATTAAATCACGGATAAGTGGAAAGGAAGCATAGGAAAGTTGGTCAATTCCTCCCATGGGGAAGAAAAATTAGTGAACCGCATGTCCATAAAGGGCCCGATGCAAATTGTTTGTCGATGCAGTAGATGAGTTTCATGATATGATATTTTGTCATGAACCATATAACTATTTCATCAACCAAGACGAGTGGAATGAACCAATTTGTTTGGGGAATGGAAATTCCGATATCTCCTCTCTGTGAACAACAGAACAAGCAACAACATCCTCCTCCATCAGAATTCAAATTCTTTCTATATCAAAATTGGTTTTAGACCTTCCTAGGATTGCAAACTCTCTTCCCTTTTTCTAATTTCATACATCAATGAAACTGTTTCTTAGAGAAAAAAATGGTTTAAAATCATAATCATGGAGTTCTATTACGTTTTCAGCAAGATAAAATGACAAGTCATAAGAGGAACTCTCCATATTATTCTTTAGATGCCAGAAGCATAAAACTTTGCACACGAAGAATACTAATAATGGGAGCTAACAAAACAGGGGTCCTCAAAATAACAGATGAATATCAGAATCAAATCAGTAATGGGTGGTGGAAATCAAATTAGCCAACCGCCACTCACCTGAAACGTCATATTCCGCCGAGCCGGAGCCCATTCCTCCGCAATTCTTCTTCTTATAGCATCTGGGTCGGCGGTGGGCGGTAATCTGAGATCAAAACCGGCTTCCGCCTCTGAAGGTTGCATATTCATTACAAATCCCTGCGACAAAGCACGATATTAATGAAGAAAAAAGACATATCCAGAGGACTTATTATTGTGTTTGAGTCCTGCAACTCATTTCGCCGAACTCACAGTGGGGGAAGGAATTCCGGCATTGACGAAAACAGGGTTCACAGAGATGACTTCCGAATTAGTAGCTTCACCAGCCTTCACCATATCGAATTGGCTCTCCCTAAACCTACTCACAATCTCAACACTCTTCATCAAATTCTCCATCGCACTGTTATCGTACAATGTAGACCCATGCCCAGGGGTTCCGTTAGCCCTAATTATCAACCCCCACGGCGATCTATCGGCGTAAAAAACCCTAAATTCATCTCCTGGCGATGCCTGCCCTTCGTCCATCATGAACCCCACATTCAACTCCTTGAACTCCTTCGACGAAACAAACTTCGCAGCTCCATCGAAACCCCCAATCTCCTCATCCGGCACATACGAGATGTGAATCGAACGAACCGGGACGAAATTTCGACTCCTGAGGTTCCGAATGGCTTCGAGATACTGGATGGCGATGCACTTGTCATCTTGAGAACCACGGGCGAAGATCTTGCCATCGGAGGACCGGACGGCGGAGAATGGAGGATGGAGCCACTTGGAGGACTCGGCGGGGACAGAGTCCATGTGAGAGTTTAACAAAATTGAGGGCAGAGAAGGGTTCGATCCACGCCAGGTCAAGAGGAGAAGAGGTTTACCTTCAACGAACTCGAGAATTTGCGCATCGAGACCGATGGCCAGTGCTTGAGATTTGAGGAATGAGACGGCGAAGGCGTAATCCGGGTTCGGGTGGGCGGTTTTGATTCTGAGGTAGTTTTGGAAGCGAGAGACTGGAGAATCTGGATCTACTTCATCATCTTGGAGATGGCAGAACGAGAGAGGAAACGAAAGGAGAAGAAGAAAAGCGGCGAGTGAAATGAATGAACAGTGGTGATGGAGGTTCGCCATGGGTGGCGCCGGTGATCGTGGCCAAGCAGTTACAGTAAGTGGACTTTTGAAGTTGAATTGACCGGAGAGCTGCCGAATCGGAAACACTGCCGCCGATGAAGGTATAGCGGATAATCTAGGGTTTGCTTCTTCAACTCGCCGCCGCCGCTGCTGTACCTGAACTCAACTGTCCATGCTCCTCCTAGCTTCTGGCTATCAAATCCAATTTTTTTTCTTTTTTTTTTTTGAGACAATCAAATCCAAAAATTACTGTTATATCATTAGAATGTTTGAAAATATAGGTCAAAATGTTCTACATAGCTTTTCTTGTTACAATTTTAACCCAAAATTTTCATGAATATATGTTTTAGTTCCTAATTTAGGTGTTTTTTCAATTTAGTCTTTCATTGTTTATAAACTTTTAATTTAGTCTTTATATTTTAGTTTTTCAAAATTTAGTCTATCGGTAAATAGTTAAAAGGTAGATTTATATGTGAATTGTAGAATTTTAGAAGAATTATATATCATCGAAGGAAGAAAACTAATATTTCTTAGTATCTGGAGGAAGAATTAGCATTTTCCCTTCTTTAAATTTTTGTCAATTTATTGAGTACTTATGTGGATAATTTATCTTTAGTCACTTTTAACATTTACCGATAATGTGAGCCTAAAAACATAAAAAAGAAAATTAAACTAGAAATTTTTAAACAAGAAGGACTAAATTGAAAAAAAATACCCAAACATTAAAACTTCAGATATATATTTAACCTAAAATTTTTAATTCTACAAATTGAACTTCAAATTTAAATAAATGATAAGATCAATATGCATGCTTAATTAAGTTTTTATTTGTTTTAAGGTTTGTGGCAACATATATATACATTCACACAAGTTCTTTTGATTAGGGAATTGGTTCCTCTTTGGACGGATTTGGGGATTTGGGTATTAGGTTCGGCTATATTGTGAATCTGAGAAATTTGTTTATTTTTCAAATTTGAATGATACCCTTTTCAACTTAGAAAGAAAGCTGAGTGTAATAACTTTGACCTAACGAGAAAAAGTAGATATTAATTATTGTTGAATTATGCTCATATTAGTCGTTGTAATTTCTAGTCACATCCTTCAAATTGTCTTAACTTTAAAAACTCGACCTCTCTATTAGTTAATTATTATTATCTTTTCTAATTTAGAATATACACATATTATATCAATCAAATAAGAATTTGTGCTCACTCTTGAAAAGCGATAATGAAACATAATATATATAATTTGCATTAATTCTGAATATATTTCTTAGATATTCATATTTTTGTCTTATATATGAAAAAAGAAAAAAACAGTTAAACATCAAAAATAAAAAATGTTGAGTTCCTTTTGGGGATACCATGGTGTTGGGGTTTTGTTATATGAACTGTTGAGCTTTCTTTTGTTATATGTTGTCCCCAAAATGCATGCTGAATGTGAAGGCAACTAAATATTGTAGAGGGCCACACCATTGTTTTCTGTTTCTTTAAGCATATCCTAAATATGATTGGTCACTCATTATTTAATTTGGTTGCATATGCATCAAATATCCAAATTTGTAAAAAAAATGAAAAAAATACTCTAAACCTAATAATAATTTTTTTTAGTACAACATGTCGGGGGAGGGGATTCGAACTCACAACCTCTTTACTCGAGGTATATCTCAATTACCGTTGAGCTAGACTCGCTTTGGCCTAAACTAGTAATACTTAATTTAAAATCTCTAGGTTTTCTACATGTTCTAATAGTTCTAATGTCTTATTATTATAGCAAGAATTGACTAAGCTATTCAAAATAAGAATTGAAATGTTACTTTAACTATTTTGAATTGGTTTAGTGGCCCAAAAGAGTAAATTCAAAAAGAATTTAAAGAAAATAAATTCAAATTCTATATGGCTCTCTATCTAAGATTTAAGATCGTATGTATTTTCTCGACACTCATATGTCACAGGATCAAGTTATATATATATTCCTTTTTTTTATACTTTATCCACAATCCCATTACATCTCCACAAAATTAAGATTGACACACTTCCATAGTTGATGTGTGACCAATAATTGAAGGTATGAAATATATTAAATAATTTATATTTTCTCCACCTCTCCTTGAGGTTGAGCTAGCTTTTTATAATCAAATGCCATAAACATTTCTCAGAAGATGAGATAAAAACCCCATGAATTCCACTTCCAAATGAAAACAAAGGAAGAGCACTAACACATTTTTGCCTTATCATATTCTCTTTCCTTTTGCTCAATTATTATTATTATTATTATTATTTGGTTACCTTAGCTTTATTATATTGTTTGGCTACTTGGGATTCAAAAATCAAATCACCTTCTCTACTTTTCTACACAATTTCATATTACATGAAAAAGTGAATGCCATGCACTCACACCATTATTGCCTTCAAAGTGGCAAACCCTATTACCATTGTTGCCCACTCAAATAAATTCTGTTTTCTCTTCTTTTTTCCTTTTCTATCATGACCATATACAAAATATGATAAACTAATAATATTTTAAAGCTAAAAGTCCGAGTCATCTTCCATGCGCACATCTATCTTTGTCACTCTCTTGTAACGTTATCCTACAAATCTAGATGAGTACAAGTTCCTTTTCTCTACCGTACTCCTTCATCCTCATATTGTGATTAACTTGAACTTCTCTCGCGCCCTCCTGTCAATACGTTTGAGTAAAGTTTTTTAAATCATTAAGAACAATTCAACTATATATCTATGCATGCATAGACTATGAAAAAGACGAGATACAAACAACAAATTGTGAAATATTAGAAAATGTGGTTAAGAAAAATCTATTAAGATGGATAGAAAAGTTGGAAAATGAGAATGGTGCAATCAACCAATCTTTCTATTACCACCACATAACACATTATAATTTTCTTTTTAACTTTTGATGTTATTTTCAAACTTTTTCATGTTAGACCATAAAGGAAATTCGCCAAGACACTCCAATATTGGTCGACCTTAATTCCAAGAATTGTCACTATAAGCTTTTTAATGACTTCCATGTTTTGTTGAGGTTGACAGTGATTCAAAATATGTAAAATGGTGTATGTACTTTGTTGGAGGATAAAATCTGACTAGCCGCATGTACCAACTAATAACTCTCTAAATAGAGAGTTATTTGGGTATAATGTTGGTATAAATTAGCTAAAGATAGTATTACTTTCACCCTTAGTTACTGTTTTTGTGCTAAAAAGATCATAAACACGTATTGTCAATTGCAATTGAGTTAATTTTGGTGCATTTTGCTACAGCTTTGACAATCCGACAGCATTAGATCCAGATTTAGAAAACAGCAGAAAACGACAAGTTGACAGTGAAAGGACTGCCCAACGAGATTTACCACAGTAAATGGAGGTTTTAACCAACAGTGAGAGCTAGGTCCCCCAAGGTCCATGTTGTTGCCCTAATATCTGAAGAGGGCATAAATACAAACAAGAGGAGAAGCCTCCGGGGACACACACATCAAGAAACATTCCCCTTATTCATCCTTGGAAGGAATCCACCCTCACTCCAAGAAACTCTCTCTAAGAACCTTGGAGAAAGCGAAGAGAAGAAGCAGACTCTTCAGTGGCATTTGGGAGCTGATCTTCAACTCATTTTCTTCATTTTCTCATATTTGTATTATTTTCATTCCTACATTTTGTTTGACTCTCCTTATGACTTTGCATACCTAAGCAACTTGTGTGAGGGGGAGATGTTCTAGACTTATTTTTTGGGTTGTAACAGTGCTGCTTGTTTTAATGGAAGTGTGCTTTGAGTTGAAGTTGTTAATCACTTTAGTTTCAATGTGTTTGATCACCATTTTGAAATATCTCTTTGATAATGTTTGGAAAAATGTTTTAGGGAACGAAACCCTTCATCTTGAGCTAGAGTCTACTTAAGTGTAGCGTGTGGTGACTTAGGGATAAACATCACCTAGCTTTCATAAAAACTGTGTGTATATGCTATTGATGTTTGTCTATGAATGTTAGTAGTAGAAAATCTGGGGTATTTGGAAGAGCATCTTGTCTGTTTGACCACTGAACTTACTCCATTAATGCTACAACATAGTTAGGGTGGCCCAGAAGAGTCGACTTACTCTCCCCCTTGCGCCGTTAATTTTACAAGATCTTATTGAGTGATTGTGGATGTTTGGTACTTCTAACGAACTTACCCCTTGTGTTTGCATTAAGATATTTATTTCAAGGTTTTTATCTCAGCACTGTGTAGTTATTATTTGGAAGAAAAGCCTATTGTTTGTGTAGTACTTTCTTGAGTGAATATCGAGTGTTTAAGCATTTAGTCTTTGTGGATTCGAACTTTTATTACTTGCTGCGACGATTATGTACACTTGCACATATAAGAATTGGTAGCACAATTAGTGGACAACATCAACCAAGAAAGATTGGTGGATCTATTTTGATCCAAATAAAATATATACATTCTGATCATCTACATCATAGGCCGACCTATGAAGCTTATGATCTTCACAAAGACATACTTTCAAGCTATGGGTATTGCTGATCTATGGCCCAATAGCTCGTACTAATTTGCTTTTCGAAATGTGTATAAAGGACTTCTCCTCCTCCTCGACTTCGTACTTCAAAGTATTTGATCTTTCTTTGCAAGTCTTCTCTAGCACAGGCACTACTCCGTGTAGAACCCAATCACAAACACATACTTCAAATATAAATAAATAAATATACAAAAATATATTATATTATATTATATAAAAAGGAATTATGATCGATTACAACCACACCATGCATGGGCGGTGATATACATAGATAAGATTGGACAACAAAAGCATTAAGTTTTGAAAACTAAAATAATATTCAACCGCTAATCAAATTTTTTTTTTCCTACGACACGTGAGATGAGGGATCGAACTTACAACTATTTGGTTGAAGATATGTCATTTATGATTGAGTTATGCTTGCTTTTGACAACCGTTAATCAATTGCCTATTATTAATCTAAAAATTTATTTAATAACTAAATAAGCATTACATGTCAGAACATCATTGTACTGTTAATATATCAATGTTAAAGACTCGGTTAGAAACATATATGATTCAAAATTTTGGAATTATAATCGAAAACTTTAAATAATCTAGAAAATAAACTAAATATATATAATTTAACTTTAACTAAAATTAAATACAATTCAGAAGATTGTTCAACAGTTATTGTTTGGTCAAAGATTCCTTACTAATAATTGGCTCATCTCCTAGCTTTTTTTTTTTACGAAATGGATAGAACAAAACAAAATAGAAAATGATTACCCAAAAGAAAGAAAAAAAAAAGTATATATTTAAGAAGAAAGAAAGAAAGTAGAGATCCCTTTGGAAGTTGTGAGTGATGGAGATGATCAATAAAAAGGTCATATAAGCAAAGCACTAAGAAAATATGCATCTGCGGCCATTAATATATCAATGACATTGTTGGGATTTCTTTTTTGGGGTCATATATATATATATTTGTGTATCCTAAATTCTTCTTTTCTACATTATCAATTGTTGGGATTTCGAATATACTTAATTTGTTCAAGAATTATGAGAAATGATAATCTTTCATATTTGATTTCTTTATTTTCTCTTTTAAGTGTTTGGTACCATGTATTTGTATTTCTCGCATTTTCTCACAAATACATAAAATTACATATACTACTCATTTTTTTTAGATATAACAACATATATTACTCTTTTAGCACTCCATTATTTGAAAATTTTCAAATTTTATGATTATATGTCTTTGTATTATGGTGTTCAATCTAGACGAAAATTTATCGTGGAGACTAATTATTTAAATGAAGATTCCTCGCAGAGGGGATATGAAAGTCATCATACTGTCACTACTCCACTCCGATAACACTCCTAATCTGACTTTTGTAAATTATTTTAACAGGTCTAAATTCGACCTGTAACTTTAGAATAAATCTATTTGATGATTAGACTCAGGCTTCCACATACATCACATAAGATGGTAAAGATACTCTTCTTTTCTTTTTTTTTTTCTTTTCTTTTTTTGGTTGGACAACTCATCCAATTATCTTCTATATAAAGGCATGCCACTCCAATGAAGTTTCTCATTCTCCATTTTATTATCATCACACTTCACTAAGACTAAGAGATAAAAGAGAGATGAGGATGGGTGGGAGTGGTAGAATGAATAAGTTGAAGCCTTACATTCTAATGGTGAGCCTGCAGTTTGGGTTTGCAGGCATGTACATAATCAGCATGGCTACCCTCAACCAAGGCATGAGCCGCTACATCCTAATCGTCTACCGAAACGCTGTCGCCGCTCTCTTCCTCGCACCTTTCGCTCTAATCTTCGAAAGGTAATTAACTTCAATCATACACACTTGACATCAATTACAATTCCTTCTCTAACTCTTAATTTTCTCGGTCCCCGATCTCAGGAAAACCAGGCCCAGGATGACTCTTCCCGTTGCTTTGCAAATCATGGCCTTAGGCTTTCTAGAGTAAGAAACACTACTTAACTGTTATCCATCAATATCCATCTTTATACCAAGTCACCGTTAAGGATCTCACATTGAAAAGAAAATAGACCTTACAAAGATTTATAATAGATATTAAAAAAATAAGACCTAAAAGAATGTGGAACATCACATCATATATCTTTAAACAATGCTTACGTGGTTTGAGGATCATAGTTTAAGGATTAAAAATGTGTATTAATTTAATTTGTTGGATGATTATTGTTGATCATCAGGCCAGTTGTTGATCAGGGGTTTGGTTATTTGGGGATGAAATACACTTCCGCATCATTTACTTCTGCCATAATGAACGCTGTGCCCTCAGTTACCTTTATTATCGCAGTAATTCTACGGTAATTAATTATTCTCTCTCTCTCAATCTCTCTTATGTTATGGTCTGAAATTGAATTAATATTATTATTTGAAATTAATTAATAATGGGGTCAGATTGGAGCGTGTAAATATAAGGGAAGTACGAGGAGTGGCCAAGGTGGTCGGAACTGTGGTCACCTTCGCCGGAGCCTTGGTTATGACACTCTACAAAGGCCCAATTCTCGATTTCTTTTGGACTCGGAAAAACGACCACCACCGTAACAGCGGCGGCGCCGCCGCCAACCAGCACTGGGTCTCCGGAACTTTGTTCATCCTCGTCGGTTGTGTGGCGTGGTCCTGTTTCTATATTCTACAAGTAACTTCTTCAACCTTAATTTTTTACCCTATTTATTATCATTTCTAATAAATTGGTCTCACTTTTTTCAACCAAAAAATATATATATATTTATATTATATATAAGTTTGCTTTTCGAATCCTTTTAATGAATTCCAAATCTGATATCACTATCTTTTCTTGCTTTGTTTTTTTAATTTGATATCTCTATCTTTCTTACCTTTTTTTCTTTCAAATGTAAAGGAAGAAGCTAGGGAAAAAGGCTATATATGCATGGATAAAGGGAGCTTTTTCGACCAACTTTATTTTCTATTATTATTATTATTATTTGTTTTAGTACAACCAACCAACTTTATTTTCAAGCCAAATTCTAAAGGCATATGATTTAGTACAAAACAATAATATATAAAGTGTGTAGACCATCAGTTTATTACAAGTAAAAGAGAGAATTAGATAAAAAAAAATGTCTCTTTTTTTTTAATTTTAAAAATGAATGAGCTACCAAATTTTGAACGGTGGGCAACATGAAAAATAGATATAATCAATTAGTACCCAAATATTTTTTTTTTGGTACAATTTTAATTAGTAAACTGTTGAGAAATCAATTTGCTCAAAAAAAATTAAACATTGAGCTAGGACCTGCCCATTCACCCCCTTGTTTTTTGAGACCACTTTTTTGTGTCAAAAAAAAAGTTTGAGATAAAGTATTTGTATAACTCAATATTTTGAACTTGCTGTTGCTTTGTTATGGAAAGGTGAAATCGAGGCAGAGCCAGAAATTTTCAAAAAGAAATTTAAAAATTTTAGAAGGATGGAATAAAAAGAAAACTCTCTTGACAGATCAAGGGACAATCCTTTCTTCGCTCTGCCCACCTCGCATAAAATAAAGATGTCAAAATAATAGGAAAAAAATATATTACAAAAACACAAATATGTGACGTACAAAATCTTTGTTGTGAAAAATCACAAATAAGAATACAATATATATGAATACTGATCTCTTCAATTTTACCGACATAAAAAACTACATATTAGATATATATTATATTATATCAATCAAAAATCACAAACTTTCACTTATTAGTCACTTCTACAAAATCCTGGAGCTCTCATATTTTACTTCATATTAAATATATCAATATACAAAAATGGTATATCACTATCATAGATTTTATGAATGCTACAAAAATAATGTATTATAGTTATATATCATATATTGGTATATCTAAATGATAAGACTTTATCGAGTTGCAAATATGACAACTAATTTTATCTTCCTATAAAATTGATAACTCGAAGTAAATTTTACAGTCGATAACGGTGAAGCGATACCCAGCGGAGCTGTCTCTTTCGTCATTAATATGCTTGGCGGGTGCGCTTCAAAGCACAGTGATAGCAGTGGCAATAGAACGCCGTCCCAGCGCCTGGGCGGTGGGCTGGGACTCCAGGCTTCTGGCTCCTCTCTATACGGTCTGTTTCAACCTTATATTATAAATCATACCATATTAACAAATTAATACATATAATAATGTGCGTGTATATGATATAATTAATTAATATATATGTGATTATTGGGTTCTTTTTGTTCAGGGAATAGTTGGGTCAGGAATTGCATATTACTTCCAAGCTCTGGTTATGAAAACCAGAGGCCCTGTATTTGTGACGGCTTTCAACCCTTTATGCATGGTGGTTGTTTCTATAATGGCCTCCATTATTCTCTCTGAGAAGCTCCATCTTGGAAGGTATGTCAAAAAAAAATTTCTCAATGTTTATATTTCAAGTAAATTTCGTTTGGGTCTAAGCTTCCACGAATTTACATTTTTTTTTTTTTTATCTAGAAAGTTTCATATCATAGAGATGATGTTTGTGTTTTACCTTTAATCAACGTGTGATTATGTCCCATCACATCCTTATCATTATTTTTAATCCAAATTTATCCAACTTAACTGATGGGTTATCTTTCAAAATTATCCTAACTAAACACTTTGAAATCCAAAATCTTTTATATTATTCATGTCAATGTGTAGTTAGAATCAAACATCGTATCAAGTTTATATCAAAGAAATGGGAATTTGGCACATCAACAACTTGGGGAGAAAGAATCAAAGCCATATATTTGTGTTTATTTTTTACTTTATAAAGATATATCTTTTTTTTCTTTAACGTATTTACGTCACTATGGATTAGTATGTATTTTTATATTACCTATCAACAAAAATTTAAAACCTTTTTAATTCTTTAACAAATAAGAAAAATATATATTTTTTAGGGTAAGCACCTCGGTATTTTTCTTTAATTTGGCTAATTAAGTAATTAATTAATTAATTAAATCTCCTGACTTTGCACTTCACCAGCGTTATTGGAGGCATTATCATCGCAATTGGGCTTTACTCAGTTGTGTGGGGAAAGGGCAAGGATTATTCTTCCACCGCCGGCCACCTCGATAAACCTGACGCCGCCGTGCCGGAGCTCCCAATTACGGCCACCTCTAAATTCGCCGCCGGACAAGATGCTCATGATCTTCAACCTCAAAAATAATGAATTTTATATTATATTATATTATGTGCCGCCGCCCAATCATTCCCCTTGAAAGCTCTGTGTGATATTTTATATATATTTCCTTCCCAAGCTTCAAGGGTAGTAATGTCTTCCCATGTCACATTTTTATTAATAAACTTTTCTAACATCCAAATGTTGAAATCTCCACCATTATAATTATAATGTTATTTTTGTATATATGCTTATTTTGGTATATTAATCTATTTTACATCCTTTCCATCCTAAAATTTTAGTGGGAGCACTTTAAAATTTTTAACTTTTTAATATTATCTTCTTAAATCAGATAAATTGAGAGGGCAATCTTCCTCGTTCAACTCGTCCTGATTACTTGGAGGTCTAATTTATTTTATTGATTTTTTAGATAAATTATGTGCTAAAGTTTAGTAAGTCATATATATGAAATTGAGTAAGTTTAATTACTTCATCAAATTAAAACATAAAGTATTTTAAGCTCAATGAATAAAATGTATTCCATCCTCATTTTGTAAGTTAATTTTAAGTTTTTAACGTTCTGTGACATGACAATAAGAATTTAATGGGACAATTTTTCTCTCAACTGTGCAGGAATATGAACAAAACACGTGCATCCAAACACTTAAAAAATATATATATATATTTATATATAGCTTATTAATATTTTCCAATTGTGAATGCCACGAACTCAAATTGAAGAGCCTAATTGATTCCCTTTTGGAGTGTTGTCTTCTTTTTGCCAGAAATCAGAATTAGATCTCTACAGTCCACAATGGGAGAATAATTCTGATTTTTGTCACTTTGGAATTAATTGCACATTATATTAGTATGATTCTTCATATCCACTATAATAATGTATAATGTTTTTCAAAATAAAATTAAAATAATGATGGACGATAAGAGAATAGTGTAAATTAATTTTTAATTAATTCTATTTCCAAATAAAGGTATAGCCACGGGGGCATGTTCGTGTTTTGGAGTGCTTTAATTTCGCTTAATATTTTAGAAGTGCTTTTGATTTAACTAAAAATATTTTTTGAATTTTAATATTTATTTCTAACTAATTTCAGCTTTTACGATGATGTCAGAACAAGTTTGGTTCATAATAGGTTACTAAACTTTTAAATGGACCTTGTAATTTAAAAAGTTATTTAATAATTGTTTCAACTTCCAATTTTATATCTAATAGACTACATTATTAAGACTTTGCTTGAAATAACCTGACGGGTGTAACGCTTAAATAATATTGGTAGTGTGACATGTAAAGTGTTAAATCGACGATGTCAACCTGAGAATAACTAACTGATAAAGACACATATATGGTCCTCGACTAAAAAATCATGGGTTCAAATCTCCACTCTCATATGTTGTTGTACTAAAAATAAGTGTTACATCAACAAAGTTAACAAAAAGGCCTACTAGATACAAAAATATATTAAAGACTTATTCAAAACTTTTTAAATAAATAGAGGAAACTCGAAATTTCTACCAATTTTGTAATAAGTTTGAGGGACTTACAAACTTTCATTCTCTTATATGTGACCATTTTCTTCTAAATTTTTACCTATTATCCATCAATTTTAACCCTAACCAACCATGATTGATTAAATTAAAAAATCTTAAAAGATAAGAGACTAAATTTCAATTTTTAAACAAAAGGAGCTAATTGAAAAAATACTTAAATATTAGGAAATAAAATATATATTTAACTTATTTTTTAAAATTTCAAAACTAAATTTTTAAGATCATGCGATAAGTATATAAAATTAATGTATTAAAAATGTTAGTTTAGAGACAAAAGCCTAGCTAACTGTTAAGGATCCCACATCGATAAAAGAAGGGACTTAACAATGGTTTATAATAGACATGGGCTACTCCTCTCATTGCCAATTGGTTTTGAGATGGAACCCCATGAATATTGATATGGTATCAGAGCCCACAAGCTCAAACGAGCATTCGGTTCTAAAATATTGTTCTGGTCATTTTTTTTTTTAAGTTGATGGTTTGATTCCTGTGATTGTTGAACTAGAAAGAAAGAAAAAACAAATCTTTTTTCATTTTGTTGCAACTAAATTAAAAGAATGTTTAAATTCGTGAGAATATAATAATTCGTATGTTTCATTTTTCTCAATCGTCTAGGTTAGCCATGTTATCCTTTCAAATAATGGAAAGCAAAAATATTCTCAAACTATTTATACGATTCATACAAATCTAAGTTGATGTAACACATGTGGAATTATATATGATTAACAAATTCATAATTTTAAATTTTGTTCCTTAACATTTACCCAAACTTAATCTATATATATGAGTGAAACCTAACATTCTAATTTAATTTTATTAATATATATTTGTTCATTGTCTTGCTTCTTAAGACTCTCTTGTACCAACTTTCATCACACTGAATTGAATTTCTTCCTCTCTAATTATTTTATTATTATTTTTCACTTAAATTCTCCTATTTCATTGAGTTAATTTTTATTTTGTTTGTAACAAATAAATTTAGATGCTCATATATTTCCATGCCTTAACAATATTCTTTTGCACAACAACAAATGGACGCAGAATCAAGAATATATAAGAGGACACAATTAGGAATAAGCTTCAAACTATAAATAAATAAATAGGTTACGTCATTTTTCCAACGATATAGAATCCATTTCAAACAAAAGTAAATTGATATATAAAACTAGAATTTTGGAGATTCATCAACAAGAATATATATATATTTTTTTTTGAAGTTGATAAATGAATGTGTAGTGAGGAATCTGGCCTAATAATCCACCATTATTTCCTTAGCCTATAAATACTACCCATGTTCAATAATCTCATCTCCATAAATCAACACAAATTAAGAAACTGATCATAGAGAGATGGAAATTAGTGAAAGGCTATGGGGTATGGTGAGGAAGATGAAACCTTACTTGGCAACGGTGTTTCTACAAATTTCTTTTGCTGTTATGTACACTATTGTTGCAGTTTCTCTTAAGCACGGCCTCAGCCATTTCGTCTTTTCGGTATACCGCCATGCAGTTGCCACGCTTTTTATTGTCCCTTTCGCTCTCATTCTTGAAAGGTTGGCAGCTATATTGAATAATTTTTTCCCAAATTTCTCGGGTAGAGCTTATGAATTCGATCTAATCTATATTTTACCACTCTACTCACTTTTACGACAGGAAAACAAGGCCTACAATGACGTTACCCATCTTCTTAAGAATATTGTTGCTTGGATTTATAGAGTAATTCTCCTTTCTACCTTATCAATTATATTGTTTATTTTATTCTATTTAGTCTATGTAGTTTTTTATTTTGTTTTAATTTTGTCCCCTATAGTTTGAATCTTAGTTTAATTTACTGTTATATGCTTTGGTCATACCTAACCTATCATTTCTATAATCACCCTATATGCAACATGTGACACTCTTTTTAATTTATGTGATAATGATTTTCTTATTTGTTTAAATTGGGTTAAATATTATCTAGTAAGGTTGGGTAATTAAAAGGAAAAAAATTGAGAGCTAATGAATTCATACCTATGATGACCCCCTAACTTAATTAATTCTTATATATTTTACGGAGGAAATTGTCATAGGATCAGATGGCTGTCCCGTAAGATTTTGTTAAGGTGTGTGTAAACTGATTCAGATACTCACAAATATAAAACAAAAATAAAAATCACAAAAAAAAATATTTGAAACTTTTAAAATTGCATGAAACCAAACTACAAAAACTAAATTAAAATTCTTAAAACCACGTAGAAAAACTAAAATTAAAATCATGGACCAAATTTATAATTTAATCTACAATCTTGTAATTGGATAAATAATAATTAATTACAGGCCAGTGATGGACCAGAATTTATATTATTTGGGAATGAAGTACACTTCAGCAACATTCGCCTCCGCCTCCGTCAATATCCTCCCGGCCGTAACCTTCATCTTTGCCGTCGTTTTCAGGTACCTACCTACCCAATTCTCTCTCTCTATATATTATTCCAAAAAGAAAGTAAAAATTTTGTACTGCCAGTAAAAAAAAAAAAAAAAAGTTTATCTGAGGTCAGCGCCATTGTTAATTATTTACCTTAATTCTCATATGTGAAAAACGAAATGAAAATAAAATAGGCTGGAGAGCGTGAAGGTGAGGGAAAAACATAGCGTGGCTAAGGTCGCCGGAACTGCGATCAGCCTGGGCGGAGCAATGGTTATGAGTCTGTACAAAGGGCCGGCTTTCAATCTTCTTCCGGGCGCGCGCGGTGGCTCCGAAACGACCGGAAGAATCACGACCAACGAGTCCACAGATCAGCACTGGGTCACCGGCACCATCTTGGTCCTCATCAGCTGCTGCGGCTGGTCCGCCTTCTTCATTTTACAGGTAAATTAGTTAGCTCACCTGTCTTTTGACAACCGTTTCCTTTTTTAATTTCTATTTCTAAAATTAATGCTTATCTTTTACAGTAATTTTTAGTCAAATTAAAAAAAATTTCAAAATTTAGTTTCTAAGCAAATTAAAAAAAAATTATAGCAAATAAAAGTGATGTTTTTAAATTTAATTTTTAAAAATGAAAAATGAAATTGTTATGCAACATGAGTAATTTAACACTAATTTGGAGGATTTTGTTATGTTTTTTGCAGTCAATGACGTTGAAACTGTATCCTGCTGAGTTCTCACTCGCTGCTTTGATATGTTTCGTTGGAATGGTGGGAGGAGGAATCGTTACTCTCGTCGCTGAACGTAACATGAAGATTTGGGTTATCGGTTGGGATTCGAAACTTCTCGCTGTCGTTTACTCTGTAATTATCCAATATCTCTTAACATTAATTTTTCTACACATTTATTCATGGGACCTATAGAAGAACAATATCTCTCCAATTTAGTTCCTTATATTTTAAAACTAAAATATACGACAAAGTATTTGTGTGAACTAATAAAAATTTAGAAAAAGAAAAAAGGTCATGAAACATATAAAAGTTTCTACTTCACTCCCATGAACAATTTCAAATTTTTAAAACTTATTTTTCTTGATAATTTTTTTGCTATTCTAAATTTCAACTAGTATTATGTCACCTAAGTTTATCATCAACCAATTTAATATTCACAATAGGGACTAAATTGAAATTTTTTAAACAATAAAAACTAAATTAAAAAAATCCCTCAAGATTATAAAATCTCTAGCCTAGCCCGCACCCTATGTATTTAATTTGTTCTTTTTTTTTTTTTCTTTTACTGGAGATATATTTAATTTGTTTTGTTGGTATTCAAGGGAATAGTATGTTCGGGAACTGCATATTACGTTCAAGGAGTTGTGATGAAGGAACGAGGGCCGGTGTTCGTAACGTCGTTTAGTCCTCTCTGTATGATCGTCACGGCGGCTCTCGGCTCCTTTTTCTTGGCTGAGAAAATTCACCTGGGAAGGTAAATTTAATTCCTCTTTTATATTTTAAATAACAGTAAAAAAGTTTTAAAAAAAAATTTTGTTCGTCTTTTTATCTTTTTAACGGTGTGATTTTTGTTTGGGCGTAGTGTGATCGGAGCGGTGATCGTGGTAGTGGGGCTTTACACAGTGATTTGGGGCAAAACCAGAGATTTTGAAACCTCTAAAGAATCCAATAACGAATTGCCGATCACCGGCTCTACTTTCCGATCGGCGAGTGACGATTCGAACGCCGGTGAAGTTTCCGGGAAGCCGGTGGAGGCTCCGGCCAAACCTCCGGTTCCCTAAATATATATATGGAGGATTGAGTGGAAAACTGTGGCCTTACAACTTTTTTTGGTTTTTGATCGTTGAGTCTCACTAATCATAAGTCTTGGTTTAGGTTTAATTCATCTTAGTTGTTATTAATCTAAATTAGAGAGGAAATAATTGTGAATTTAAGCGGAGAAAAATTTACTATAAATAGATCTCGATTCACTAATTACTAAGTGAAGTATTTCTAGGCCTACATGTCTGGGTGGTAGGGATGTAATAATATTATTATGGTTTAAATATTATCTCAGTGATCTGTATTTTTAGTTTTATTTTTGTTTTTTTCGAAAGGAATTTTTATTTTTGTTTAATGTGCTTTAATTGGTTCTGAATTTCATACTTTTAACTTTTATTCCATTTATTTTTTATATTTTTGAAACGTTATTCTTGTTCTTTATTTTTAAAACAGGATCAATTTGGTCTCATTGCAATATTTTAACACAAATTATAAACAATGAAATTAATTCAATACAAATTTATAGTTAAGTTTCAAGAAATTTAAGAAATTTAGAGAACTTGATGTCCTGTTAAAATTATTTATAATGAAAATAAGTGAGATAAAAATGACTAAAATGATGGATTTTTAAAGATATAAGGATCAAAATAAATGTCTTGAAATCAAATCATATATATATATTTATATAAACATATAGATAGCAATAAAAATAGTTTTTAAATCTTAAAAAGAAAAAGATAACTTGACTGTCGATAGTATTTTTTGTTTGAATCATCCGTAGCTGAAACATGATTCAACATTTTGGTCCATTTGGTAATATTTTGTTTTTAATTTTCAATTAAACTCGTCAACTCATAATTTCCAAATAGCTTTGGGGGAAAAAATCTCGACTTCTTGATCAAATCGGATGGCTCCCGTCCTCGTACGCACGAATACGAAGTACGAATACAATACCCCCACGTTGTTCTTAATGATTGGGAATTATCGCTTCTCCTCCCATTTTGATTTCCCAATTGGAAGAAAATTTCCCCTCCGCTCTGGAGCGGAAATAGCAGAGACGCCGTGCTCCGCCCCAATTCCGCCGGAAATTTGCGACATTCAAAATCAAAATTCCCACCAAAAATGGTGATGTGGGTATTCGGGTACGGCTCTCTTATTTGGAAAACTGGCTTCCCTTATGACCAAAAACTCCCCGGCTGTATCAAAGGCTACCGCCGTGTCTTCTATCAAGGTCCCCATTCCCCCATTTCTCTCTCCTTTTCGATTTCTTCTTTATATTCCACTCTGATTTCTGCGAGTTTTTGTCATTAGGAAGCACCGATCATAGAGGAACGCCCGACTTTCCCGGAAGAACAGTCACATTGGAGCCTGCTGAAGGGGAAATATGCGTATGTTCTTCAAAACTGACTTTGATTTCTATGCTTAAAACCCCCTTTTGGTAATGGATTGGAATTCTTAGTGTTACTGTTTTCAGACATTACAATAAGATCACGGTACCCCAGTACTTCAAACCTTCTGGATTTGTCTGTAATGTTTTCAATTCTGCTTGTTTGACTGTTTGATGTGCATTGTGAGATAGCTGAAGCCTCGATGGAAGAGGGAATTGTTTCATGAGTTCAATTTTTCGTTCAGAAAATTATATCATAGTGTAACTTTAGCTCCTACTTATTGGATTTTTTTGGCCTCTCTCTGCACTGTCATCTGTTCTTCCATTTTCATATAGTGAAAATCCAATGTCGAAAGTTGGCGATTGGCTTATGCTACTTAGCTTTCTAGTTTACTCGGAGGAAAGTCAGCTTTAGAGTTTATGGAAGGCATTGTAAATATTTCGGGTAAAAGAGAGAATATTGCTTGGTTTACTGAAAGAGTTTGGGATGCAATGCAAGGAGATATCCTTCCATATCTCCCAGAGATGGCCTTGAGAGGCCCAGAGATTAGTGGGATGGGTCGTGAACATAATTCAAAAACCGGGATTCCTTGATACGTGATTGTGAAAGAAAAATCACTTTTGTCATTGACAAAATCACTCCCTTTTCGATGGATCATGTTTGTCAAACTAAAAAATTGATTTTAAGAAAGTTTTAAACTACTTTAAATTGATTTTTAAGGTATCATTTGGATAGTGATTTTGAAAAATCAATCATACTTAAATCTCTTTTTTCAAAATCACTAATTCTATCATCATTCTGAAACACACCCTAATTCATTAATTTTCTGTTGCCATAGTGGGGTGTCGCTTACAAGATCACCAGAAAGGAGGATGAAGAAACTGCACTAGAAGTAAGTTCTTCAAACATTTTTCTTTCTAGACATTCTGTTAGCTAAAAACTGTCCACTTCAGATTTTTATTTCTTGTCATCAATGGACTGGATTATGTCTGGATGATGTTTTTTCTGTTGTTGTCATGTCATGTATTCCCTTAGCATTTGGAAGTGAGGGAGAAACAATATGACAGAAAGGAATATGTGGATTTTTTCACTGTAAGTTTTGGTTCTTCCAAGTCTAAAGCATCAAATACCATTCTTGATTTACTTGCTCTTGTTAATTTGTTGAAAGCTACACAATTTTTCAGGACCCCATAGCTACCTCCCCTGTTGTTTCTGGAGTAATGGTGTAAGTAGCAGCATTTAACAATTGATGCATTCAGTTCTAGACAAAGACATAAACTCTGTAAGTTCTATGCATGCCACAGATATATTGCATCTCCAGACAAGAAGCTAAACAAGAATTACCTCGGCCCTGCATCTCTCGAGGCGATTGCAAAGTATGTACTCGATATCGATATGATATTTATACTCCTTGACACTTTATTTAGCCTCAAATACCAGTAGAATTATTAATAGCTCTGCATAGATCAATCTCTCTCACCTTATCGTTTTAAAGATTAACGGGATCGAATCACCCGGTGTCTTGTTTAACGTAGAAAGAATCCATTATCTAGAGAAGTTACTAGCCCACAGAGAATGAACATATTGGCAATGGGGTTGTGGATTTACATTCCCTTTTGATTGGAAAAAGAGAGTTCAGATCAAACCAAGTTTCGACATGAGCTGGACGGATTGAACCAATTCCCTAACAGAGCCTGAAAACTAGTGATGCTTTTATATTAATACATTTCACAGCTTAAGAAAGTCCTATTTTTTCTCATTAAGTTCAATTTGCAGGCAGATAATTAGTGCAGAAGGGCCCTCAGGACCCAACAAAGACTACCTTTTTCACCTTGAAAAGGCTCTTCTTCAGTTTGGTAAGTTCCTTTTACTGTATAGCAGATTGAATTTGGAATACAACACAGCTTGCTAATCTCATTCTGTGGTTAAATCTCACTAATTGTTCAACTGTTCCTTGGTTAGGATGGGAAGATGAACATGTAATGGATCTAGCAAATGAAGTCAGAAGCCTTCTTTCCGATGGGGAGCACATGGCTGCTTAGGCGAATGTTGATGATAAGCTTCTGCCACCTCAATCAATCTGTAAATAACTTCTCTTCATAGAATTTACATGGAAGAATTTTAGGTATTCTCAACCTTATTTTCTAGGCAATTCTGAAATTTCCATCCCATTGAAGGATGGTTCGATGTACTGTCAGGTTTTTGCCCATTTGCAAAAAATCCTCACTGCTGTCTCTCGTCGGAGTTTGGGGTGTGTCTTTGTTGCAATGTAGCTGATCATCCTTTGCTGCCTCTTATGTCTTAGTTCTAATGTGGTTGATCATCCTCTTGGCCAGTTGACAAAAAGATTATTAATGTCTTGATTGTTATATTATACTTTGATTTGGTTGGCCAAAGTTGGAAATTTTCAAGTAATGCAACTGTCTTTTTCTTTCGCATTGTCGCACATATGGGATAAAATATTTAAATTTGTGTTCTTTTATCACAAATAAAAATATTTCAACCATTTAATTATGCTCAAGTTAACGTCCAACAATTGTTAATTAATGAGAGCAAAGTATTTTCAATTAGTGTGAAGCCAATCTAAACTATTGAACTATACTCAAATTAATATTCAACGATTATTAATGAAACCATTAACAATTGAACCATTAGTTATTGAGCTATGCTCAAGTTAATACTCAACAAGTATTAATTGAACCATCACTAAGAAACTTCTAGACAAGCTCGTGAGCCTTACACCTAATGAATGACTTGTGCAATGCCAAAAGGTTATGAGAGCAATGTATTAACTGTTGCTCAAAATCAAATGGATGAATTTGAAACGAAAGACAAATCAAAATTATAGGGTTTTTTTTTTACTTTTTATTTCATGTTTAACATTAAGAGTGAACAATATTGTACAAGACTTCGTCCCATCTCCTAGATATAGCTCTAATATCGGTGACTACAAACTCTCCAATAAAAATAGAAGGAAAGAAGAACTAAATAGAAAACAAATTACAGTGTAGATCGTTACTAAGATGATCGAGAACCTGCGGCAACTAATTTTGAATGCTCTTTAATCACTGTCTTCGTTGTCGTCTGTGAGAAGAAATACCACATCATCAAGCCCAGGACAATATAACAGATCCAGATGAAGAATCAATCAATCACCAAATTAGATTTAAAACAAGGTTTAAATATTATTTTGATTGTTCTACTCTCAAACTTCTTTGATTCATTTTGATTTGTATACTTTCGAAATAGGTTCATGTACTTTCACCTTTTGTTCACTTACTCTTTCTACTTTCAAAAAAATTTTAAAATCTATTTTGGTCCTTTTTCGCAAACTTTTAACACAAATTCTATACCTAATAGAAACTCTATAATACAAATTTGTGACTACATTTTAAGAAATTTAGTGAGTGAAGTGTCTGTGTCAAAACTAGAGTCGAAAGAAATGAGATATAAAATAGAGTGAAAGGACCAAAACAAATATTTTGAAAGTTTTTGTACTAAAATGAATAAAATTTAAAAGTACAGAGGCAAAAATGAGCCAAACGGAAAGTAATTGGACCAAAATAATAGTTTTTAAGCCGAAAAACAATCAAAGATTTTTAAATATGATGTAAGAAAACAAGCAAGACAATTTTAAAATGTTGGTAGTGGTCTGTTACCCTCGTTAAATTCTTCACCCTGGCTTTCATCATCACCACCATTATCCTCTTCGTCGTGGTCATCCTCCTCCTCATCATCTTCTTCATCATCTTCCTCCTCATCGGTATCATCAACATCACCATCAGTTTCAACTGGAATTTTCGGTTTTGGAGGTGGTGGTGGTGGCGCCGCATAACTAGCTGTGGATCTTCTACGTGAACTTGAAACAATATTACTCAAGTCAATGCCTTCAAGTTCCTTGGCTCTTTCCTTCTTCTTTCTGACGTCTTTAATTTCTGATCACCAGAAAATACATCATGTTGATCGTTGAACAACAATGGAATAAAGATGAGATATAACTTGCTGCTGCTATATGTTAGTATTTTTACTGGTGTAGCAGGCTACGAAATTTCTGGTTAGAAATCGTCCTGTGACACTACCATGATAGAGTCAACAATCCAAAAGAGCCGCACCAACGAACATATTTTCCATATAAGTCTAACTAGTTCATATCTTTTTCTTATATGAGAACTAATTCCATTAAACAAATGAAATTATTACAGAAAACTCTTCCAGTGGCACAAGAAATTAGATTATAATCTAGCTTTTTTTTCCAAATCTAATAGCACCCCACCTCACCATTAGTGATTTCATTTAGTTCACCTTTTTCAGTGGGATTAGCAGATAATCCTTCTCTAGATAGTATCCCCTCCAACTCCTTTATAAGTTGGGATTCACGTTTGCTTTCAGGTGCCTGCTTGACTTTCTTATAAATTGCTGGAGGAACACTGTAGATAGATTATTGATCTTTACTCTTTACAAGTCAACTCAAGAAGTTAAGCATGTAAATGGTAGGGGCTAGAAAGAAAACCTCATCCCACACGATTTGATAACCGATTTCAGATGCTCCACACGCTTGCCATAGACAGCAGTTGAAACTTCCTTCTGTAAGGTCTGAAAAAAACACCAGAAAGTCAATTTATTGAAAATCAGATATAAGGGAGGAAAATGTAACTCTAACCTTGACAGGTTTTTCACTGGATGATTCAGACCGGCCATCTTCAGAGACATTTTCACCACCTTCTTCATCACTATCATTCTCTGATGTAGGCTGAACATTCTTGCTTTGCTTCTTGGCAGAGACAGTCTCCTTTGCAGATCTTTTTCGCTTTTTCGTTTCATTAGAGTTCGGTATTCTTCCTTTAGTAGCATTTTTCTTTCTAGGTTTTACTTCATCGTTTTCCTCCTCACTGCTGCTGCCTTCTGTAGAATGAGAACTTTCTTTGCTTACCTTTTTTGGAGTTTTCAACTGAGAACTTTTCTTTTCGTTAGGAACTTGTTCAGCAGCTTCACAAGAATTTAATATCTGATTTTAATATTTATAAAGAAAAGTTATCAGTATGCTCGACAACATAACCTAGAAAAACGGATACTCAACAGAATTGACTCACCTCCTCCACTTGCTGGCTTATAATCTTCTTACAACAATCGAGAGCATATTTAGTAAGTTTAAGGTCATTCTCCAGAAGGCGGCGAACTCCAGCCATAGTAACTTTCCTGAATAAGAACATTGTTTGCTTTAAGTATTCATTTATTTTCTATTAAAGAGCTTGAAGGACTGGAAGAGCATTCATGAAATAAACATGAAAACAAATAGACAATAAAAATGCAAGGCCCTATGTACCAGTTCAGAATCAGAATTAAGGATTGAGAATCATTACCTCCATTTCCCTATGCATGTTGTTTACCTAAACATAAGAATCATTTGTTGGTGGTGAGTCCCACCAAAAATCAAGAATGATTCATTGATTTTGGGGGGAATGAGACTCCCCCTCTGGACGAAGAGGAATCCATTCCTCTTTGGAGGGAATGCACCCAATTCTTATATGTTACATTTTTATACCCATTCTGAAGTTTCTCTCCCATATTCCACTCATTCCTCTCTCTCGCTCTCTATCTTTAAATCATATGATTACTGTTCAATTTTCATGCAAATGTTGTAAGAAAGCTCCCTACCAAGACTAATAATCTTTTTTTCTCAATTATTTTTATAAGTTGTGAAATGAATGAAAATTTATTTCTGATAGTAGTGAGTAGTGATTCTACAACAATATAAATACCTTTTAAAAAATTATGAGTACTTGAGTATCAACTTGGATACCCATTCTTGATACAAGCAACCAGTTGAAATTAAATGTGATTTCAGTTCCACAATGTTTTTAGTGAATAGGAAGTAAAACAATGAATTATGATCGGAAATCTTAACGGTTTGGTTTAATTATGATTCTCTTTCAAACCAATTTTAGGATTTAAATATCAGCGATGGATCAAAATACAGGAAAGGGGGCATAGACTAGTCTAATATAACATAACGAAAGCAGATTAATAGCATTAAGATGATCAATAATTTAAAAAATTAAGAACTTACTCTGAATTAGCTTTAAGATAAGAAGTTCTTTTCCTGATAGCTTTCTTAATTATACTCTCGCTAGGAATATCTTTGTCATCTTCGTCTTTGATTCCCTCAGGTTTCACATTTGTTGTTTTCTGTCCTGTGAGAAGGCCCATAACTGGAGAGTCTTCCATTTTCTCCTCATCTTCCAAGCAAGGTTCCTTTACACCTTTCTTGGACTGACGCCCTTCAAGTGACTTGGCCGCTTCTTCTCTACTTACACTTTTCCCCCCAGTTTCCTCAGAATCCTTTGAGGCATTGTCTTCCTCAACACCTTCTAAGCACTAACATATAGAAAGAATAAAAACATCAATTCAATAATTATGTAAGATGTCCAAAATAAAATTTCCTCTGAGTGCTCAAATAACCAGAAAATTAAATAACATGGTAATTAAGGAATTTAAAATTTTGAATCTCAAAAGACACCTCAGAAAGTTCTTGGAACATGTTATTTTAAACTATAACCATATTTCTTCTCTAAGAAATTAAACTCATCGAAGTATATCTTAAAAAGTTACAAGAAGAGCCACCAAAGCTAACAAAGAGAGGCCTGAGATCAATTTTTTTCTTGGAAAGGAAACAGATTTCATTAATGTAATGAAATGGAAAAGGAATACAAAAGGGGAAGATCCCAAACCAAGGGAGTTACAAAAAAGCTCTCCAATTGGTTAAAAGAGAAACAAAGCTATAGTGTTTAAAAATAGGAGAACATTTGCACCAAGATACAACCATAGACACTATAGCTTCAAAAATGATGCCAACAGAAAGCTCCTTTCCTAAGAAGATCCGGCGATTCCTTTCTAACCATGTCGACCAGAGCAGCACCCTAACAAAATGTTTTCATAGAGGGTACACCAAGCAAAGGCCAAAAAATGAGTAATGTCCCACACCGCACCCAATTGCTCTCTATCTTCACTCCAAAATTCTAGAATTTCTCACTCCACATCTTCCAAACTGTGCTTTTGTAGCCACTACCCAAAGGATATGTGCCTTAAGCTTGAGCTGGATGCCTGAGATCATGTTTTAACCAAACGGACTATAACTGCAAAACAGGGTAGAGCCAGAGAGGGTACACCAAGCAAAGGCCAAAAAATGAGTAATGTCCCACACCGCACCCAATTGCTCTCTATCTTCACTCCAAAATTCTAGACTTTCTCACTCCACATCTTCCAAACTGTGCTTTTGTAGCCACTACCCAAAGGATATGTGCCTTAAGCTTGAGCTGGATGCCACACATCAACTGTTCTACATTTTGATTTGCACACGGGGAAGAGCAACAGGAAATCTCAATAGAGTTCAGCACACTCACTCAATTATCACATATTTAGAAGATCCACGTGTGCACTGGTAAACTCTAGCAATAACACTAGTATACAATGTCATGCTCACATGTTTAAAGTTCTTATCAAGGAAAGTACCAGTGAACAGTTTTGAATAATCAAGGGCAGATGAATAGGTAACTTGATGAGGATGATCAAATATTCATACAAAAAGAGATTAAAATCCTTTTGTGATTGATGGGTTTAGGCAAGATTAATACAGTTAGTGTGTGCGTGCGTGTTCTTTCTTTCTTTTTTTTTCCCTGGGTATCTTAATACTCTGTTAAGAAATCAAGAAGGCATATCTTAGGTCCATGTTCCCCACATATATCTTCGACAACTTGATTTGAGCTTCCCATAAAACAGTTTGACAACGAAAGAAAAGATAAAAAACCACTATTTCCTTAGTTAAGGCTCTTGTACTCTTAGATTCATCATCATTCGTTGAAATAATAAAATTTATTAAATGTCAAAAATAGGAATTACTGAAAGATGAAATCATTGAACAGAAGGCATAACAGAAAAATAGGAAGCCACCACCACCAAGAAAAACAAGATGACGCATATAGAGAAAGAAAAACACATTACCTTCACCAAACACTGCTTGATATATCTTTTATGCACATCTAACGCATACGTCTCCAAGCACAAGTCCTTTTCTAACAATCTTCTAACCCCCTCAAAAGTTAAAGAACTGTAACAAAAACAGACAAGTAAACGGAATATTGAATAAACGTATCAATAGTCCTAATTATTCAGGTTTATAAATCAATGAAGTAATGAAGCAAATTTCTTGCGACTAAAATTCTTATAAGGAGCCGGGACATCTAGTTATCCTGCTAGCCTGCTAGTAAGGTTATACATTATCCTAACTTTTTAACTGATAACTTCACCTCTAGAAAATGGTCGTTAACAAAGTCATGAGATTTTAATACACAAGGCACGTATTTTGAGCCCATACCAATCTTCACCATTATGCTTGATATCAACAACTCTTATAAGTTGAAAGAAAACAACGACAACTTCCCCATTAAGAATGCAGAGCGACATACTTATTTTTCTGCTCCTTGTAATAAGGACATGTGTCACGCATCCTCATCTGAAGGTTTGTTTAAAAATTTCACTCAAATCCATTCACAACATCGAGATTTTTTTTTTCGGTTATGAAAAGTCTTACTTTCATTGAAAAAACAGAAAGAATACAAGAAGCATACAAAAAACAAATCAGCTCCACAAAAAAAATAATAATAAGAAGAAGCCAGGCTTAAACATTAAAGGGCTCCAATCTAGTAAAATAAAACCTAATAGGTTTTTTTTAAATATGAAAAGCAAAGCTTTCAGTAAGAAGAATGAAAGATAAGACCTAATAGGTGATCATAAAAATCCCTATACATCAAAGCCCAAATAGAAACACGAAACGTAACAAAGGACGGAACCTCCACCCAAGATCTTTCAACCTCTCAAAAAATTTTATTGTTTCTCTCCACTCAAAGGCTCCATAAAGTAGCAAAAAAGCTAGCATGACACAATAAGCGACCTTTATCACATAAGAGTGAATGAAGATGTTGAGAATTCTACACAACTACACTCATACTGACTTTACGCCAGATGTTCAAATTCCAGTTAGTTTTAGATCAATGGCACAAAAATACTTGTCAAGGTCACAAAATAGGCAAGTGTGAGGAGTAGAAAGGCAAAATTCAAGTTTGGGTGACATTTCAAAACTGTTTTATTCTTGTGAGAACTGCTTATTAAAGTCATTTTCTATTGTTTCCTTAGATGACCTATTTTCGAGTCATAGATGACCACTTCAGAGAAACAGTTGAATTTTATTGTTCCTTCTTTTCATGGGGTTGTGAAAACAGACATCAGATAGAAAATAACTTAATTTTTACCAGCCGCCCAACCATGGTCATTAAAATTAGGTTTCAAACGAAATTCAGCAACTAATATGAAATCAGTTTCCAAACCAAGCCCAGTAAACATATAATAGGGGAGAAAAATGAACTGGAACAATATAATTTTGTCAATTAAAAGAACTAACAATTACAAATGTAAAGGTTCTGATCCTTACTCTCTCAAACGCGCATCCGCATGCAATAAAGTGACGTTAACGTTATTCTTGTCTTATGTTTAGATGAGAACCTACATTTTGATATCAAACGCTAAAAGCCGCTCATACAAGCGCCCAAAAATTTAACCATTCTGAGAAGGATGGAAGAGATACAAAATTTTCTCCTCTTCTACGGATTACCTGGCCAAAAGAAACCCTAAAACTACCGATAACAAAGAGACAAGAGACTGAACCGACAGTATAGGTTCGAAAACTGACACAACTTACAAGATATATGTACGTGTAATTAAACTAAAGTAAGCAAATATTACCAGGATAGAACTAAATATGAACAAAAATCCACCTGTAAGTGGTCTAACAAGCATTTTGGGGGGTGCAGGAGAAACATTATGGCATCATTAACAGCAATTGATAGCAAATACACGAAAAATCACAAAGGAGAAGAAAAACTCCTCGCAAGAAACACAGGCTACAACACAAGTCTCACAGGTCCCCGGAGACGTAAGCGTTGCGCGCGCAGAAAGTGAGAGAGAGAGAGACTCACTCGGCTTGTTCCTTGAAGTGAGAGACGCGGGAGAGCATAGCGTTCTGAATCTTCGCCTCTATATCAACCTCCGTATCCATGGCGTCTTCGTTAGGAGCAGCATCGTTGTCCTGTAATTCCTCCGCCATTTTGCTCTCTTCGTCTCGCGCCGATTCTCTGTGCGAGCGAGCGAACAAATTATGGGCTCTGAAAGTGTGTTGGGACTTTCCAAGAATGACTCTGCTCGACAGAAAAAAGAGGGGGAAGATTTTTGTTACGCTGTGAGTGCTCGTACAGACTGCGAAATCTTGATCTCGATCTCCACCGTTCGTTTGTTTGAAATTGAAGACCTGTGGGAAGCCGTTGACTCTGGAAATAGAACGATCATGGTGAAATTGCGCCGGTTGGCCCGGTTCGACCAATTTAGGGATAGTTGATGGAAATTTGATGGGCTATTCACGTAAATAACCGTAACAGCCGCCACTGCCGGGGATAGATTTTCGAAAACTGGCCCTTTTAGAAAAGAATAATAACAGTACATTACTAAATTACTATTTTATCGCTAAAATATTTGGTCGGATAATTTAATATTTTTACATTGTCGCTTACTTACTGATCAGTAATTACTATCCTAAAACGTTTCTATCAATAATAAATGGACGATTATCAACAAAATATTTTAACTTTTTTCTTTTGATTTGTCTCAATACAAAAATTTATGTGTGAAAATTGAAAAGTTAGATATTTACCCCTTTTATAAAATTTCTTCTGTGTGGAAATTAAATTGACTATTTTTGTTAGCCAAACCATATTAGAGTTTCATTTTTTTAATTCCAATATTAGAGTTTCAAATAAATTTAACCATTTATATATTTTTCATCCCAAGCTCAATATAACAGGTCAATGATAGATTTTATAGAAAAAAAAAGTAAAATTTTCTCTTTCAAAATAACATTTTTTTCTAGAAATGTTACGACATTTAAATTGAAATAAGCATCCTAACAAATTCAGTTATGTTCAAGTTGGTCTCTTCCTCCATAATATGCAAATAAAATGTGACATTCAAAATTTGTCAATATCTAAACAATCTAAATGTTAAAATGGCAGAGCTTTGGAAATCAAAGTAAAAGACTAAAATGTTCTTCAAAAAACAAAATAACTAAAATAGTCATTTAACTTGAAAAAGAAAAATACAGCACAAAATATTTAAGTAAAAAGGTCATTTTTCTAAATGTAGCTACCTAAAATTCACATAAGGTTTATCTAAAAATATGTATATTCCCCACGAATTCCACACCACAACGACAAGGTAGTAAAATTTGATCGCCAATTCAGAATCCATTATCCTTCCGTAGAAGGAAACCTCTTCACGACGCCATTATTGAAGCAGGCCGATCGCGACCGAGGTTTTTCGAGATGAAAGGCCATGGCGCTCTCGAGGTGGCCAAGACGGTCGTCGAGATCGCAGACGTGGCCTGGACTGCGGTTGAGTCCTGCAATCACCACAGACATAGCGAACATGCCGCTAACTGCGCTCCTGCAGAGGAAGAAGGGCTGGAGGCTCTGCGATTGGAGAATCGGAGATTGAGGAATTTGCTCGAGAAAAACCTCGACCTCCTTCAGAACCTCTCTGAATCGCACTGTTTGCTGAAGGATTGCCCTCCTGATGTATTTCATCCATTTCCCCTCTTTTTCAAGTTCTGTCCTGCTTTTGATTGATTTTTAAGTTTACCTAGTATTCAAATTTCGTATTATTTTTGTCTTTCTTTTCCATTTTTTAAATTATCGTTTATTTAATGCCGACGACGCAGTTTGGTTTTGTCTTTGATAATTAGAGTCAAGAATTGGTTTCGAGTATGAATCTTCCCGGCTACAGTTTATGCTGAAAATTTTGTGTTTGAGATTTGATGAGTGTGTTCTTGTTTCCTGAACTCGGATAAATGGCTTTTATTATTTTTCATTTTTAAGTTGGTACATGAAAGTAATCATAGCATTAACTTGATTCCTTTCATTTATCATACTTTTTTATCGCAAATCCTGTAATGAACTCAAGTCATATTTGGACCTTCTAAATTCCAGCTGTACGCTCGTCTCGTTGCGACAGTGGATTCTGAGAAGTTCTTAAATGAAATTAAATCCCTCAACGAAGCATCAAAAGATGGAATTAGCTATGAGTTCCCTTTCAGGGAAGCTACAGGTTTTTTGCTTTCTTCCTTTCTTAAACCAAACATGATCCAATAGTTGATACTGAAGTCTCACTTTCTTATTGCGTGGTGTTTTTTCTTTTCCCCATTTGGTTCTCTGGTTAGGAGCTGATTCGCATACAGCTGATATTCTTGTGAATGTTAGCCGTGAAGCACCCAGTTGGTGGATTTGGGTTACTGAAGATATGGTTCCGAGCAAAGTCGAGGAATGGAGTGGGATTGATGACGAAAGTTATGTGATTGTATCCGAGGAACATGTGGTGGATGCAGTTGCCCATTTTATGGCTAGATGTATTATGTCAAACCCAAAAACCCGGGTATGCTTATCACTTTGAATTAAATTCCTATCTGGATTTCTCTAATGAATCTTAAATATTCAAGTTTTTCAAAATGCAGAATGTCACGCCTGAGGTGCTGCAGAAAAGTACGTCTTTTCTTTTGTTAATTTAATTTCTGGATTATGGGGATTATGCAGAGAGTCGGTGTCAATTGGTGCATTAATATTTATCCTCTATTGAACATCTATTTGCAGCATTAGCAAAAGCCCTGAATAGTATGGGCAGCAAAATGGAGAAGATGTTTGAAATTTGGCATGCTGGGCTACTGTTTTATACCTTATCCACTTGGGGACTTGCACTGGCAGGGTCAGTTTTTCTTGATTTGTTTTTTTGATGAAAATTATCGCCATTTCACTTTTCTAGATACTAATTTACTCTGCCAAACTCTTTGAGCGTATTATCAGATAATAACGATAAAATTTCAGCATGCTTGGATCTGAAATCCAATGTGCAAGTTCTTGACAAACTAGAACCTTGTCAACAAATTAGAGCCTTCCCAAACTAGGAGCATACATCACATAGCTGGAGTTCTGCTCCATGAGTGATAACCGTATACATCTGTAGCTTAAATTGTTTTGCCATTTCACACCTAGGCCGAGCTCACTTGTTCATCTCTCCTTGAAATATGTGGTGAATGAAACATGAATTACATATTTCATTCGTTGATTCTCGAATGGGCAAATCTGGTGATACTGGGATTTACACTCCCAAGTTCTTTAGTTTTAGTACCACACTTCAATCTCATTCCAAGGGCAGAAGGAACTTTATATGTTCAATGCGTTTCTCAGATTTCTGTTGCTATATGTCACCTATCCGTCCAAATGGGTGTACTGAGATCACGCTGAGGTTGTCACATCTGAATATAAACAACAATTTTAGTTTAAGTTTCATGTTATTGTTTAATAAATTTGTCTGTTCGTCGAGCAAGCTATAAGATATTGCTTGCAGGTTGGTTTCGTGGATCTTTACGTGGGTTTTGCATATTGCAGCTTGTACCAGGGTCGTGCTATGTTGAAACTGGCTGCCACTGGTGTTCACCATACAAGCAAAGCGGTGATGAATGTACTGTGAAGAAGCTATTTATATTCACCAAATGTATGATATTGTTTGAAGTTCATTTCGTTTTCGTTTTCTTTTGATTATTCGTTCTATCAAGTGATGTAAATAGCTGTCAACATTTGTTATGATATTGTTTGTTGTTCATGTCTTCTTGTGATTACTCGTTGTATCAAGTGATGTTGATTTCCGTTAGATTTGTAAATCTTGTACAATAGCTTCACTCCCAGTTGAAAGTCCATTGTTTGCTTTTGTGCTACATTATGTTGTAAAAAGTTCTATTAAGTTCAACTATAGAAAGCAATAAAAATCCAATCAAATTTTCTAAACTATTTTTTATTTCTAAATTATTCTTAGGCAATAAAAATATATGTAAAATTTTAAAAAAGTATTGCTATTTTCATTTTTAAAGAAAATTATTGCTATTTTCTTGATAACTTATTCATGTATAGTAACTATCGTAGGTGACGAAAGTAAATGTTAATACCTTGAAACAAGGAATTATTTTGGTGTCAATTTGAACAATTGGTTAAGACATACGTTCTTGACAAAAACGTTAAAAGTTCGAAAGTTTTTGGTTTTACTGATGCTTAAAAACAATTTAATTTTTTCTATTTTACTAGTCTCTGGTCTAGAGCCAGTGACTTTATTTCTCATCAAATATTAGAAATAGCATCCCATGGAGTTGACTTGGTATATTAGCTTCACATGAATTGATAGAGATTTTGGAATATGTCTAATTTGTCTAAAATAAGGTAGATTTGGAGAATATAGTAAAAATCTTAGTTGCAAAATGCAAATTACTATCGTTGTTATTTTATTATTATTATTTTTTTTAAATAAACACCTACAAAATATTATTGTCCACCTACCAATACACTCACTAGTCCACAAATCCTTCATAGAATAGAAACCATATTAATCGATCACATCTCCACAAATAACGTCTGATTACCAGTGCTCCGCTCTGTGTTAGCTTAGCAGCTGAAGCAGTAAAATGTTAACATATTGCAAATCTCTTCCAGATAGTATAGTGCTCAATAGGGGAACTGAATCTTCAACTCAATAACTTAAAAAAGAAAGTTCAAAATGGATGTAACAAGTAGCAGATGAATCAATCTTACATGAACCGTAACACCGATAGGCGGTATTTTCTAACACGAGTACACTACAAGAAAACTGAGAAGGGTCTCAAAAAGCCTATTGTTTGCCGCATTCATACATCAGTTTCAACGGAAAATAAATAAAGGTTACACATTACATACAGCCACCAGCACAGAGAAGAAAAATCTTGAAACATATAAACCACAAATAAACAAAACCCGACATAAAAATGCCCCGCCGTGAGAAAAATTACAATGAAAATGATGTTAAAAAGTTGGCAAGGATAAATAAAAGAAAGGCAGCAGAGATACTAGCTAACGGATTCATCAATGAGGAAGCACTGGAAGGTGCCGAACTCGACCCAAAAGTAGTACCAATGGGGCTGTTGGCTGGTGGAAGTCCAGGGAGAGATCCTGTTGTTGAAGGGATCAATCCCGAGCTGGGCGCAGCTGATCCCGCACCATCAAATTGAGGAGCAGGGGCAGGTCCAAAATTTGAATCTCTGATTACTGTAGAAGGTGGGGCTTTAAGCGGGGGGAATTGCTGTGGCCCTGTAAATTTGAACGAACAAGAAGAAAAGCATGATACGGTTTGCATATATATCTTATATAGATGCTAAAACGATTGTTTTGTTGCACTTGAATCTTTCAAGAAGCAAAACGTGTCTGTTTAAACTTCTACAGTTAAATAACTTATGGTTCACTATAAATCAATCAATAAAACCTACGATCTCCAATATTAAAGGGTAAGTTTTATGGTCATCTAGGTTGAAGTTGAAGCAAAACGAAAAGAACGTTTACCTGGGCATCGGGGCTGAAGACCTGAAGACAACCTGTGAAATATGAACAAAGAATGATCAAGAAGACTGTTCAAATGAACTTGTCGAGACAGCATAACAAATATAATCGAAAGGATCGAAACCAAATAAGAAGCGAGGAACATACGTCGTAAGGATCGTGCCATTCACAAAACCACCATAACTACAAGATGTAACATTGCAACCTGCACTACTCTGCTGTGCAGTGGAGTTTCCAAGCATAAGGTTGCTGTTTCTGCATTGCATACTCGAACAAGAAACCGCAAATGGAGCGGGCATGCAGTACATACTGTTACAAATTGAACCATTAAGCCAATTAAAACAATGATAGTCAGAACGCTGCATAATTCAAGCAAAAACTGGTGAATTACTTGAGGTTTCCCGGCCCACAACTACACTGCACACAGTGACTCGCCGTTATCGCATAGCTCCCATTGGGCACAATCAAACCAAAGTCGGAGGCATATCTTGGAAACTTCGATGCACAAGCTGTAAAAAAGAAGCAAATAAACATCCCCACAACTTCAGTAACAATCAGTTATGAGTCTCGTCTTATGACCAAACTTAGCGCATTCATCAATTCATTTCCTTAAACAGCCATATTAGACAACATATCCATATAAACATCGTTAGTTTACTACAATTCATGAAACTCATAAAATCAACCACATATCCTCAACAAAAGCCTTGAACATGAATATGTAAATGAAGATCAATAACACCAATATCCCAAATTTTCTTATACCAATTTCTGAAGAAGCAAAAAGAAAAAACAGAAAGAGAGAAAACCTAAAACTTACCAGGCAAGGGGACGGCCAAAATATCACCAGGCTTAATCGCCGGGTTTCCCATGGCATTCACATCCATCAAGTCAGTGATAGTGGTCGAATATCTCGACGCAATCCCAGCTAAAGTATCTTCGGGGATGACAACGTAAGACAAGTAAATGGCAGGCAACGAATTGTCTGTCCCATTGAAGCAAGTACAAGGAAGTGGCACGACAAGGGTCTGTCCTACATCAAGACCAGAGGGGTCAGAAATGGAATTGGCCTCCCGAATCTGATCCGACGAGACCAAACCGCCGTAGATTGAATCGGCAATCGACGAGAGAGTGTCAGACGGGCGAGTCTTGTACCGAGTCGCCACCGATTTACGAATCCCATCGACGCAAGAACAGGAAATGGGGATTTTGATGAAGAGCTGCGAAGGAAGAATGTGGTTTTCGACATCTGGGTATGAAACATCTATGGCATTGGCGGTAAGAATCGAAATGGGGTCGATTTGAAAGAGCGAAGCCACCTCAGAAACCTTGAGGTCAGTGTAGAGAGTGTAGCCGAGCAGGGCATTACAAGAATCGGAGTTAGAGCACGGCTCTATAGTTGATTTAGCGCTAATAAAAGCTACATTGGCCAGAATCGAAGTTGAAATAACAAACAAAAAGAAACCCAGAGCTCTACAGGCACAACCCGGCACTTGATCTGCCATTCTGCAAGCTTTGTTCTCTGTCAAGCTCCTCTCCGAACAAAACAGAGTACAGCAGTGGGAATTCGAAGCTTTCTTTTGAATCAGATATCAAAATAATGGCGTTTTTGGTTCTCCCTACTTTACTATTCTCCAAGACTTGAAGCTTGAAGATCAAACAGAGTGAAAAACGAAATGCGAGGGAAATGGGATTCTTCACTTCGATAAGAAACCCATTTTCGTGCCCGGAGAGACGATTCAGAGGGCTTCAAAATGACAACTAGATTCTGAAGAAATTGGGTATTTTTCTTTTTCTTAGCTTCAAGGGTTTTTAGGGTTTTTGAGAAAAAGGAGAGGAGAAAAATGGGGGAAGGAATAAGCTAATGGAGAAGGCAAGCAGACAAATATTTTGCATAGAGGGAACAGACACAGGTCAGAATCTCGATCTTCGAGTTTTTTCTTTGGACTACTTTGTCCACCGTAAAGCTCAAAATTCCCGCTTTCTTGCAAAGCCTGTTCCGCAGTGAAACGACGACGTCTCGAGCCTTTATCTGGATCCCGGGTTGCTTTTTCCGGCGGGGATATTTTCGGAATTTCGGGTATTTGCTGTTGCGGGTCTGGCATCTAAGTGGGCCCGACTGCAGAACCGGAGGATTGGCGCCGTTGAGAAAAGGAATTTCTGGTTTCTTTTTTTCTTTTAGCTGACCGGAGTTCGTACGATATATAGCTCACGCTCCCTGAGTTGCGCGTGTTGGAAACTCGCTTATTTATTGGTGGACAGTTACTTTTCAGAAATTGGGGAAAAAAGGGCTTATTCTACGAATTAACGACGCAGGTGGCGGTGTCCGGGGCGCGGTAGAGCGGGTGGTTTTGACACTGAGGAACTGCTGACGCAGCAAAATAAGCAAAAAGCTTCTCCATTATTATTTGCAATTTATATTTGTTTAAATAATTATTACCTTCGTTTTATAATTATGATTTACCTTTTTCTTTGCTTACCCTCTTCACCCTCTTTTTATACTAGTTTCTAAACATTAGCCAAGAGTATATTACACAATAAAGAAATTGGAAGTAAAAAACAAAAGAAGAAATCTATTTTTCTAAAATAAAGTTAAATTTGTTATTAGATTAGTCCTTACCGACAGAGAGTTAGATTTCCTAGGCTATCTATAAATAGTAACCTAAAACTAGAGTTTAGAGTTAGATAACACAAATTTAACTTTATTTTAGAATAATAGATTTCTCCTTTTGTTTTTTACTTCCAATTTCTTTATTACAAAAATTACAGATGATTTATATTATTAAAATTTTAGGTCAATAAAAAAAAACCTTGGCTATATCCTTAAAATAAGCAATTTTCCAAAACAAAAAAAACAAAAAAACCTCACATTAATATACCTAATATCAAATATATTATATAAGTTACACAAATGATATACCTAAAATGGAGTATATCATTAATATATATAATATGACTAATATACTTGATATCAAGTATATTAGCCATTACTTCACATTAAGTAGTTATATCAATGATATATCTAAAATAAAGTTTATCATTAATATACTTGATATATAAATAAACAAATCTGTAACATCAGTTAAGTCAAAATTTTAAACTCAAAGAAAATTGATATATCTAATTTGAAGTATATTATTCACATATTTAGTGTAACTAATGTATTTCTTATTGAATATGTTAGTTATATTAGTGATATACTTTATATACGGTATATCAGTTATATAATCGATATATCTGATATCAAATATATCAATGATATATATAAAATGAAGTATATTGATATATCAACGAGAAACCTACAATTTTACTCAATAAAAACACTTCAACTTAAAGAATTTTGCCCAATACAAAGTATATCATTAATATATTTAGTGTGATTGATATGATTTACCTTGATTATATTAGATTATTAGTAATATACTTAGTACTTGGTATATCGGTCATATAACTATATACCGAATGTCGAGTATATCAATCATACATTTGATACTAGGAATATCGATTTCTTGAAATAATTAGGGAAAATGAGGATGGTAAAAAAACGAAAATGTGATTTAAAAATTTTTGCCATATTTTCCCAAAAAAAAAAAGCCGGTCCTCTGATGAGCCGTGGCTGTAATGGGCCGTTTTTTAGCAACGGAAGAATGGAGAAGGTAAATTGGGCGGTGGGCCAGATTTGAGAGATGTCCCATCTAGAGTTGCATTAAATGGAGCCCATGATACTGTTTGGGCCGAAGGAAGAAGGCCCATCTGGAAAGGGAAGGCCTTGTATTTTGGGGCCCAAAATAACATCCTCGAAATATGAAGCGAGATAGAATATTTGAAAATTATTGAGTGGAGAGGGAGCAGAGGCGGAGGCAGAGATCAGAAGAGATGCCGCGGAACGCTAATTTGTCCCTACTTGCAAATTGTTTTGTATGACAAAAATCATATTAAAAGAAAAAGAAAAAAAACTTGAAACTCCAATCTCGAAAACAAAATGAGTGAGGAGTGGACCAATTTCCCATGCCCACAAACTGTACGCCCTGGTTTACTACTTAACGTGACGATATTGATTTCTGTAGTACACGTTCAGAGTTCAGTTTCTAGGCCTTTTATTTTACCCCACACTCATCTAACACCATCGATCCTAAACTAATCTAATAATTTATACATGATCCATAAATAGGTAGAGGTATAATTTGAAGCGTGCTTTAATAATTCAATTAGTCATTTTGTTTATACCACATTCTTACCTCTTTAGGAGCATGTGCGAGAGATACAACCAATCGTGCTAAGTAGATTAACCTAAGTGAGGAAGACATACACAAAGATAACAAATACTCGAACACTCGAGTTAGTAAGAAATTTCTGATTTACAAAAATATGTAGGTGGATCATGTGACTCTGGTCTGTCACATGGTTTCTATAACCAGTTAGGTGATTACAAATGGTTTGTGTGTGATAGTTTGGTGTATACCGTGACACTGACTATCTATTTAACTTCAATCTATATAAGCACGTTTTGGTCGAGTTCCATGGTCCTTTTAACATGCTTTATCCCCACTCACATATTTTATAAGAAAATCCGTTGCGCAGTCATTCGACCTAAAATTGTTCCAAGCCAATCACACTTAATTTTAAAGTTCTTATAATTGAGCAACCGAAAAAGAAGGTGCATCTTGTTAGTATATGTAGTAATCATCAATTCTTCTAAATCTTTTTTAACCATACTTCCATGATCTTAAGATCACTCTTATTCGGATGTGGTATCAGTTAATTCACATACCTCTCCTCTCTATCTGGATGTCACAGTCACGTGGAATGATCTTTGATAATGTACCACGTGGTATGTCATATTTTACCCTTCAACATCTTTTATTTAATACATATTATGTAGATAAGGAAAAGGTGAATATYATGAATCTAAACATGGAACAAATCTCAAAATTCCTCGATTAAATAATTCAACCATACGTCAAAAATTTTAACCCTTTTTAGGGAATGATGTAATTGAACTTCTTTTCGTATATGCTAGTAGAGTAAAAAGGTTGAGAATTAAAAAATAAAATAAAATACGAAATTAAAAAGGAAAAAATAATAATAGAGAGAGAGAGGATGAATAAATGTGAACACGTGGAAGGAGGGTGACGTGGAATTAACAGAGGCGGGGAATAGGTAGCGGGTTAGGCGGGTGCAATTATTAGAAGTACGACCTTCTGATTTCGGATGCACGAAAATTCCAATTTACGAGAGTGACCCCACCAAATTACACTCCCCCGGGCCCATTTTCGTCATTTCCTCTCTCTCCCTTCAATAAATAAAATCTTGGTTTAATTATAGTAATACTCACCACCTTCACCTCCAATTTCCTTCTAAATTAAATAATAAATACATGTTTCGGTATCAATACTATTTCTTTTACTTTTACTCTTTTTTTTTTCTCCTAATATATATATAATTATTATATTATATAATAAGCCACTGAGTCGGGCCAGTCCCCTACTGATCTTTCATTCAATATCTCTGACCCACCCATGTCACCCAACACCATACTTATTAGTTAGTACTCTTTAATCTGTGTTTCCATTGCTAAAAGACGATTTCATCCTCCGAATTTGATTTCCTCAGGTCCAAACCACCACGTGTCAACTTGTACGGGAACATAAAATAATGATTTAAATACTATTGCGATGCTTTTATTTTCTAGGAAAAACTTGGTTACTTTCTCCTTTATACTAAGGATGTTAAAGAGGAAGTTACTTATTAACTCTAAGTAGCCAATTTTTTACTTTTTCTAATTTGATTTATACTGGTCAATTATTTTTCAAATAATTTTCATCTTTATAATTCAAAACATCTATTTTTTTCACTTTTAAATAGTGACCATTAGTCAAAAATTTTAATACAAAATTTATATCATTATTAAAAAAAATTTTGTGGGTGAATTGTCAAGTTAAAATTGTGATAAAAATAAATGAGATTAAAGAACTAAAATTATCACATTTTAAAAACACAGAGATCAAAATAGACCTATACAAAATACATGAACTAAAAAGTACACAAACTAAAATAGATATTTTGAAACTATATTGATCAAAATAAATCAAAACGAGCATAATTCAACAACGATTGACATATATCTCTAACTAAGAGATTGTAAGTTCGATCTCTCACCTTACATGTTGTACTAAAAAAAATAATAAACTAAAATAAAAAGTATCACAAATGAAAATAATATTTGACATAAAATCATAATGCTAATCAAGTTTTTGGATCATTTATATTACATATTAAACAAATCAATCATCTGATCCTATCCGCAAATCGAGTAGTAATAAAGTATTACAATGTTCAAGGATTCGACCCAACTTAAATTGCTATCAGAGTATCATTATTATGTCCATTTTTAGGGGGTAAAAAGAAGACGTTTCAGAAAGAGGGAAAAAAAAAAGAAAGAAAGAAAGAAAGAAGAAGAAGCAAATTTCTTTTCGTTGGACGCTGCGTTTCTTTTTCTCTTTCTGTACACTGTATTAAAGTCTTTGATTTTGACAATGTTTCCTATTATTTCATTGTTGTGTCGCCTATTCATGTGTAGAAAATTTTCAAAACGTCAACGTTTAACAATTAAATTCCCCTTTGATTTTTACAAACCTTAAACCTGTAAACTAAATACAATACAACCAAATTTAAGTTTCTATGATTAAATATAAATTATACAAATTAAAACTTCCTAGACCCAAACTTCAGAACTCCTCTTCTTAATGTTAATCATGAAAGTTAAGGATCAACAATTTGGTAAAGTTGTTGTTTTTCATTTTCAATATTCTTAATAAATAAAAGTATTTTACAACTAACTTTGTTTCTTATTTCTCATTTTTTGAGAATATTCTCATGTATAGAAATTTTGGAAATAACCAAAAACAAATTTCTTCTTTCTTATTCCCACTTGAAACAAAAAACAAGTTTATCATACTTAAAACTGAAACAAAAAACATAAACGTTGTCAAAAGAGACCCCAGATGAAAACACCAATCTAATTTAATGTTTTTGGCCTATCCTAGAAAACAAATAGTATAACATCAAACGTCTAATTTTTTTAAATTTAAAATTCTAAAACCCTAAACAAATCATCAAGCAACAATCTAATTTATTTATATTTTGTCAGAAATAATATTGATATTCATCTGACGGTACTTGCCCACTTTAGGTTGCAGATTCTGGTGAAAAGTTCCAAAAGAAATATTCAAAAAAGAAGTAAAATATTTTGAAAGAGAGAGAGTACAGAGGGAATCCTTACCTTTCATGATGATACGCAGACAGCAGTGATTGTGTTTCATTTCTTTGTGTGTGCTGTTCAGTAGAGCCACGCCTGCCCACCCAAGCACTTCCCGTGACGCTTTAAGATCTGTTCATAGAGAGCTCGAAATTATGGCTTTCTTTGCTTCTCCTCAGCACTTCCCTCAGTCCTTTCCCAACCATTAGACCATAGCTCCTCTCTTAATTTAACTTAACCCCACATCTCCCAGGGCTCAGCCCAGTCCCATCCATCAATTTTTTGTCTTTCTCCTCCCTTAAGATTAATGACCCATTACCCAGATCTAGGCCACTGATTCTGCTCAGCTCTATAAAGCAGGAGCTCCTGCTGCTACTGCTGCAGACGTGGTGTTCGATAAAATGCCAAGTACCGAATCGTTTCTGAGGCAGATAAGTACAAGGGAGGGCTCCAAATCTACATCTAGGAGGTGGGGTGGCGAGGGAAGCCATTGGGGCCAGAAGATGGAGGGCGGTGTTAACAACTTGTATGGGATCGAGAGCGGCGGAATGTCTAGGAGGAAGAGGGTGATGGTGGTGGTGGATCAGACTTCACAGGCCAACCATGCAACCATGTGGGCGCTAACTCATGTGGCTAACAAGGGCGATGTTCTTACTCTTCTTCATGTCATCCCTACCTCCTCTGCCCACTCTTCTTCTTCTGCAGATTCTTCTTCCTCTTCCTCTTTCTCTGCTACTTCTCTTGGTTCCCTCTGCAAGGCTTCTAGACCTGAGGTTAGAAGGGAACTCAATTCTCCTCCTTTTCTTTTCCTAGCATATCCACTTCATCTTTGCTGCTCAGATCTCGTGCAATGAGAAGTAGTCTGTCTTATAATACTGTGTTTGATAGATTTCACTTCGTGGGGAGAGTAGATGATGAGTATAATCTGTGTAATGTGTTTTACAGTTGTAAAAATTAAGGTTCAATGTGACATCTTTCAGGTGGAGGTGGAAGTGCTGGTGATCCAGGGGCCAAAGCTGGCCACAGTGATGAATCAAGTGAAGAAGTTGGAGGTGTCGGTGCTGGTTCTGGGACAGAGAAGACCATCGTTTCTCAGTTGGTGGGTCGAAATCTCACGGACATAATTCCCATTATATTCATGGCTTTCCAACTCATTTTTTAACTTAAATCTGGTTGTTGAACTGTTTGCAGCTTTCGTGGAAGTGGTGGGGCGGGAGATCTGGTGGATCATTGCATAAATAACGCAGAGTGCTTGACCATTGGAGTGAGAAAGCAGAGCAGAGACATGGGTGGCTATGTAATCAACACCAGATGGCAGAAGAACTTCTGGCTTCTGGCTTAGTTGGTTTAGTTAGAGAGTTACGACAGAAGCCTGACCCTTGGAAGTTGTAAGTTGTAAGTTGTATTGTAATCTAATTAACAATCACTCAGCCTACTGCTGCAATCTGTAAAACAACTAACAAGCTTATCATCCTTTGTGTTAGCATAATGAATTGCAACTTTTTAGCTAGCTCGATGGGAATTCAGAATAAGTGTTCACATCATGTGAACTATCTCTTTGCACCTTAGAAAACAGAGCTTGGAAGTTGAGAAAATTATTCTAATTCCATTCAATGTTGGAAGGTCCTGGATTGCATTCTTCTTCTTTTTGGTTTCTATTAAGCCCACTGAAAATGGATCTATACCTTTTGGGTGAACAGATGCAGCACCAAATTGGCGTTCCCTATTCAAAAGGGATATTTAACGCAGTATGAGCATGAATCTAACATCCTAATGTTTTCAGATCACTCAAACTACCTACTGAAAAAAAAAGGTGCTAGATCTTCGAGCCAATTCTTAATGACGCAATCTAGAAAAAGGGAGAGTGAAGTCAAACCAACTTATTGATGTCCAACCACTTAATCATTTATAAGAGTTAGTAATGTATGACCATTGTAGACGTACGGTTTGAAATCATATGGTTACAATATTCATTGATAATGTTTCTATTTTTTGTTTTTTGTTTTTATTTTTCTTTAGAAATCTTAGCATTTTGCAGTTATGTTTTTTGTTTTTCATGTTTTAGGAATATTTTCAAAATTATATAGAAATTTTGGAACCATGTTTTTTTTTTTCCAATTTCAATTTGTTCCAAAACACAAACAAGAAAATTATTTTATCACGATGTTGGGGCTATAAGTTTCAGTTTTTTTTACTAGAAATAAGAATCAAGAACGAAAGAGCCGGTAGATCTTAATCTCATAAATGAACTTCTTTTCAGACCCATATTGCAAAAATGTCTAAAAATAAAAAAATTTTCATTTTTGTCTGGTGTCTCAAGGTTTGAGATTTCTAAGAGGAGAATTTTAGCTCGACTTTGGGCCTTGCCCAGTGCATATGATCCAATTCAGAACTAGGCCTAACTATAGGCCGGTCATTGCCATGAAATAGAACTGACCACCGATGGGCACGGCCAGTACCCTAATTGGATCCAACATGGAGCAGGCTCTGGAGCAAACTCATTTTAAACCAACTAAATTGTGCTACATAAACCAGCACAAGATGACAAGAGGGCTTACTTCAAGTCTAAGTTTTGACCGTCAATATGAAAATATAAGTGACTCAACGACACGATTTATAATCTAAGAGAAAATATTTAACTCCTACTAGTTACTAGTATATAAGAGACATCGTCTAAACTACCATTAAATGTTTGACAATTAAGAATGAAATGCAAAAAGATGGTTTTTCTTTTTTAAAATAATGAGTTGTCAATTCATTGTGGCGAAACCAAGATTTGGTATGTGGTTGTCACTCTTAAGAAGTATATAAGTAGACTACTCCTCTCATTGTCAATTGATTTTGAGATATAACTTTATGAATATTAATATTGACACTTTTCAAACAAATAATAATAATAATAATAATAATAAAAGGCCTATATTTTGACAATTGACCACTCCGTGGCTTTCAAGTCTAATTGAATTTTCTAAGTTGAACCATTCATAACTAATGGAGGAACACAACACTCAGCTTTCAAGTCTAGGTTCAGATAATTGACGGTGCATGTGCTATTATTGAGAGAGCAATAAACACATATTTAGACCCGTCAATCTTCTCTCTAAATATCTATTTTTGGGGGCACAAAAATATTATCATTTCTACACAATCATAGAAAGAAAGAAAGAAAGAAAGAAAGAAAAAAAGGAGAAAAGACAGTTGATTCTTGGAAACTAGATCCCCAAAGAGTAGTAGAACAGGACATGGAATGGAGCTAATTGGAAGAAATAAATCAAATATAATGGTCCATGAAACTGAACCAAAACATAACTATAAGATACCCATTCTGGTTGATGATGATGACAAATACCCACCCAACCTTACTTTGAAACAGCCACTCTCTCTTTCCATCTTCCCATGTGGCTGTGGCCATTACTTTCTCTCTTCCCTTTTGCTTTTTAAGCCTTTTAATTGCCAGATTTCTCTACTTTTTTAGTAGCCAGCCCACACTGCATTCTCCTCCCCATTCATTTGTTTCCATTATTATTCTTTATCGTATTATCCTCTTTTTTCTTTCTTCCTCCCACGAATGTGCTTCCTGAGTGCTTTCTTTTCATTTTTTTTTTATTATTAGGATTCCAGTGCCTACAGTGCTCTAAAAGCTTTGGGAAAATTCTGCTTCCATCAGCTACTTTGGAGTTTGGTGTAGGTACTTTTTGTAAAGGTTAGAAGCTAATGTAGTTTATGTTTAGAATGAAACAAGAGGATGAGGAACTGAGTTCTAGAAACCTATGGTTTGATTGGTATGTGCAAAAAGTAAAGGCATATTTTGGTAATTGGGTTTCAGAGTATATGGGTTAATGTGTGAGTCAAATGTCTATTTGGGAGGTACTCGTGAGTTAAGTTTGTATACCCAAAATTAAGAATCCAAATCTATATTTAGTGTATAGATTTAAGTATTCTAGACTGTAAACTTATAACTTATTAATCTTAGACACGATATAAATTCAAATTTCAAATTTGTGAAACCATCTTATATAAATATACAATTGAAAATTACACAAAGTTAAAAGTCCCTATAATAACAATACAAACATACAAATATAGATTCAATAAATTCAAAGTTCATAAATTGAGGTTTATTAGAACGGCGAAGTCAAACATGCCCCAACAATTTTGGCACGCGACAAGTGATTTGGCTTAGTAGTTGTACCGACTTTGGGTGCAGCTTTTGAGTCTTTTTGAACCCTTTGAATGCCCTAAACTATCTACACATATTTATAGTGGGGGAGCTTCAGAAAAAGCCAGAATCAAAGAAGTTTGGGTAATTTAGATTTTTTTTACCAATTTTTAAAAACTCTTATTTATGATCCTTCAATATTTTTTTTATTCCGACATTTTTTCACTTTTTGCACCTGTGTTAAAACTAAAACATCCTTGCATCCTTTTTTTTTTCTCTAACTTCTTATTTCTCCAAACTTTCTTTTCTTTTCTTTTTTTCTCTTTTTGTTTTCAATCTTTTTTCCATTTTGATAAAATTGGTCAAAATTTTGGAAACTCATAAAAAGAAAATTATAAGTGAATTAATCTCGATCTTCTTGATTTTTTTTTCAAATACGGAACTAATATAGAAAAAATCTAACTTTTTAATTTGAAGAATCAATTACGAATTGGAAAAAATACCCAAAAAATTTTAATTAAAAATGAGAGCCAAGAATAAATGCCCAAATATATTTTAAAAAAAAACTGGAATTGCACGCTATCCTGGATCGAGATAGCAAAATCCAATCCCATCTGAGATAGTCTAAAATGCAATCTCAATCCAGATTATGCAATCTCAGCCTGGGATAGCATCTAATTCCATTTCTTTTATCTGGGTATTTATTCTTGGCCCTCTTTGTTAATTAAATTTTGGGTATTCATGCAATTTTGGCACGAGATTGATGAATCTAGACTTTTTGTTTTTTAATTAAATCTAGGCATTTATGCAATGAATTATGTCAAATTAAACTATTAAATATTTAATATTTCATTATATAATTTCAACCATTCTTTATAGATTTTTTCTATATTAGATTCATAATTAGTTCTTCAAATTAAGGAGTTAAGAATTTTTTTTTCAATTTGTAATTGATTTTTTAAATTAAATGATATATTTTTTAGATCGGTAATTGATTCTCCAAATTAAAAAGTTGAGTGTACGGTTTAAGGTAAGACATTGATGGTTTAAGGTAAGACATTGATGGAGGAAACCAAAATTGTGTACAATTTTGCTTTTTTGAAAAATGTGGATATTTTGATAATTTTACACAGTGACAAAGTGAAAATGGGTAAAAAATTAGGATAGAATAGGTAGAAAATGGGTTAGGAGTCCAAATGGAAGTAAAAAGTGGGTTAAAAATTCCCAATTACCCAATAAGTCTCTAGTGGAATAAAATTTTCATTCTTTCTTTTGACATGAAAATGGGAGAGGAGTTGAAGTTAGATGTTCGCAACATGGCTATCTAAAAGAAATCTACCTTTGTGGGCCAAA